TGAAATATTATTCACTTAAATCAGACTTTAGTGAAACCTGGAGTACATTTACAATCTACCCTGCAGCATACAAAGTGATTAAAACTAGCTGCAGCTTTACCAGCTGTGATAACACTTTAATGATCAATAAATATAATCAAAACATATAATATATATGATTCTGAAATGGACCAATCTGCAGAATGAGTACTTTTACTTTTGGTACTTTAAGTATATTTGTATGCTTATACTTTTCTGCTTTTACTTGAGTAACATTTTGATTGCAGGACTTTGACTTGTAACAGAATATTCCTACACTCTGGTACTTCTACTTTTACTCAAGTACAAGATGAGTACTTCTCCCACCTCTGGCCAAAACATATATAAAATACTGTTGCTTTTACTTTTCAAGCTTGTAAACACTATGACTATTTTCCATCATACTGTAGCATGCTTCTGTGAATGTGCAGTGGCATCGATCAAGTTATGCATACAACTATTAAAAACAATTATATATTTGTATTCATTTTTTCTCCCTTAATTGTGAAAACTGACAAAAGTAAAAATGCAGTAGCTGCAAATCACCAAGATGTCTTCATCATAATATGTTCAGGTTAAATGTAGTGCGTCTGAAATACTCATCAACAGGTTCTTTAATGTTTAAATGTTACCTAAAATGAAATAATAAAGCTTGTGAGGTTTACGAAATATTGATAAACCTTCAGGAACATATGTGATATATGTTTTTCTGACGTTAGCAGATTTGACTGTAGGCACACCTCAGGAAACCCATAAAAACATGTCATTGTTAGTCAGGATAACTGTCACGTCCACAGATTTCTGAGAGACTGTTTCTTTAATAAGCAAAACGTTCCTGAAGAAAACCCTTCACAAAAAGAGATACGTTTTAAATATAATATGTCACTGCTCTGAGCACTCAATATGTCATTTAATTGGGCAAAAATGTGTGTTTCTTCTCAGGTGATGCCACGGTTACCATCGCCCACAGATGTACACCCAGGGAGCAGCTGAAGGAGCTCACCTGCCTGGCTGACATCATAATAGCAGCTGCAGGTATAACTACAGCCCAGACACCCTGTAATGACACCTTTAACACACATTCCTAATCATTTACAGATTAACAACTGAAGTTAAACATCTAATATGGATATAAGTATTTCAAGTTGATCAATGGCACAAGATCACGCAACTCACAATCATTTGTCATTTAATATTGACTTACAATCTTTCATATCAAAGATGCAAATGTGTAATAGGCTATTCGGACCAAAAGTGAAGACGCATTTGAATTGTCCAACGATTTTTGATCTTGTATTTTTGACCAAAACGATTACCTCTGATGTTTACATGTCCATTATACATGTCCTTTGTATTGTAAGCAGCACTACAGAACAGACATTCGGTTATGGATGAATTATATCATGCAAAATCAAATTTGTCTGAGTAATAACTTTATCTCTGTTTCACTTTCAAATACCTTGGTGAGTTACTAATAAGTGAAACTACTCATGTTGTTTTCCCTCTCGTTGCCTTTGATGTGGGTAATCCAAGTTTAACAAAATATGAATGAAAGCAGGGTGTTGTTGCACACTCTCAAATGTGTCTGGTTGGGAACTTTACATGTGTCAAAAGAGGTTTCAACATGTTGGAATTGCCATACAGGCAATTATATGTGTGTGTGAAAATCATAATAATCAACACTGGAGTTTCTGTATATTTAACTGTTTAACAATTGTGTGTGTGGGTCGCAGCTAGAATGTGAGACAATCAATCTGTGCAGGGCAGGAGTTTCTGTTGAAAGACTGTTAAGTGACTGTGTATGCCTTGGGGGGGGCTGTGTGGCACTTCCTTTGTAATGAATAGGATGTTTCCTGATGACTAAAAGCAGCTCTCGGGGAAGGGCAATTTCTTTTCTTTTCATCCAACTGTCAGGGTGGACCTTTGGAAAAAAGGGACTGCATTTACGCTGCACTGTATGATTAAGTGAACTGCAGCATATCTGTCGACACCTGTTTTTATGTCACTGGGAAATTCATATGCACTTTATATTGTTGATAATCGACTGAGCGTTTGGGATTTAATTATTTTAATTGGACATTATACTCGGGGTGTGGTTTACATTAACGTGTCAATAAGCTCCAGCGATGTCCGCATGCTAAATACAGTATGAGTATTCTCACATTTGGTACTTAATTGTTATTTGACTCAGACATGATTCTATTGCAGAAGAGCTATAATTACAGTCTGTCTGGCAGCCAACTTGAAAGTGACCAAAATAAATACATAAGGTTTAATTATTTCCTTCCTCTTAGACAGCCAGCTGAGGTATCGTCTTATTCTGCTGTGCTGACTTTCAGGTCCAAGATAAAGTAGTAATTTGTCCCAAAGAGCCTGTGATTAAAAGGAGATGACAGCAGAAAGGAATCCACTTGCTGTTTAATAAACTGGCACAGCTTGTATCTCTGTCCCAACATCGGTTATTTACATTTGTATAGGAATGTCAGGTGAGGAGGGTGGGTCCTTGTCTTGAAGGGGGGCTGAAATCTTCTCTCAAGATCTAAATGATTTTGAATGATACTTTGCTTACAAACTGCATATCAAATGATTTGTGTTCAAATAGATTACCACAAAACCCATCTCCAGGAATGTTCAATGCACAGAGAGGGGGGAGGAATGAGGGTAAGGTAGGGTAATGAGTAAGGGTAGCGCAGAGAGGCATGATGTGTCCATGGGTTGCACTAGCTGACGTTCTCATTGCAATGTAATGTTGCGATTAACATCATTTTTCTTTGGAACATCTAGTTAAGTCACCTTGTGTCTGGTAACTGTTAACCCCCCCGTTGGTCGCTGTGTGTCCAGGTGTTCCCAGGCTGATCACAGCAGATATGGTGAAAGAGGGCGCCGCTGTCATTGACGTGGGCATAAACCGCGTTCTGGACCCAAAAACGGGGAAACTCCGGCTCGTTGGTGACGTGGACTTTGAGGGTAAGCGATCCAAACGTTAAGTTGAATTTCTTCAGAAAATGGTGACTAAAGCTGCTACCTTTACATAATTTGGTATCAGTTTTGTTCATATGGGGACAGAAAGCCAAATTGTTTAGCAAACTGTTTTTTATAACAATTAAGACCGATATCATACGTTGGCAACCATTTCTATTATTTTGAATTTTCGCTCTATTTGTTTCATTTGTTGTGCCTCTGATAATATCCAGGCTCCCCACAGTACTGCTAATTGAAATGACCTCACAGGCTTCTGGTGATAGATAAAAATAGTATTGTTAGGTTTACTGTAAGCAATGTTGAATACGTTGTTAAACATATATTTACCTGTTAATCTTAGCTCTGGTTCTTGGAAGTAACTCATTTGGTTTGCCTTGCAGGAGTGAAGGAGAAGGCAGCCTTCATCACACCTGTTCCCGGAGGCGTGGGTCCGATGACCGTCGCCATGCTGATGAAGAACACTGTGACCGCTGCCAGAAACGCACTGATGCATTAAACACACACACTTGTTTTATTGAATGATCTGTAGTACAAACAGTGTACAACTATATACACATACATTGATTCATTTAGGTTTACACACACTTTACCATCAAACACACTTTTATTTAAATGCATAAACTAAAGACTCCATACCTGCTGGGAAACTTACTTGATATGTACTTTGTCTATATTTTGGATTTGTTCATTTATTTGGGTTATTTATTTCAGAGTTCACTTTTTAAGATTTAAGATTAATATTTTTTCTACTGAAGTTGTTTTGGTTCATTTTTGAACATTCCAGATTCCCTGGAAAAGGAATATTAAATGAAAAACAATGCAGTGCCAGTACTACAATCTCTGTCTTTATTTTCTGATTCACAGATGCCCTTTTTTGACATGTTGCCTTTAATGGAGAGTGAACTCTTCAGAAAGAGAGAAGTTTGACATGCAACACAGATCCTGGAATCAAACCAGAGACATTGTGAACATGAGGTATTAAATACAAGATCTAATGATTTCTACTTCGGTTCACAAAGTCATTTTACTGATAGAAGAAATGTTATGCATCGAAATAAGTCAAAGTAAAGTGAGGCACCCTTTAGAAAGGGTTTATACAGTCAGTGTAATCAATTACTTTAGTAATATTAATACACATTTATAGCACTTTATATATTGGGTATGAACATTCAGAAACAACTTCTGGCTTTAATCTATTGGTGTTTGTTCTATCTGAGCTATGTTCATTTGTTACAATACATTCCTTGCTATTGTAAGGAATGATATTTACCTGATTATGTATGTTGAATTTCTCACGTTTATCACTTTTAATTGGGAATTTATTTTAATAATAAGGCATAAAGCTTGGCTAGCTGTTTATCCATTAGTGACATTTAAAATAGTACACATTTGGAGATGCAGTACATACAGTCTTAAGTTTATATTAATGGCGTATGACTAATCTAAAAACATTAGCTGGTGATTTATTAATCATTAGTTAAGGTTATAATTATGGCTCATTAACCCTCTAAAAAAGGGGTACTGATATTGCAATAAAATAAGAATGACTAAAGACTATGGCATTTCAAGAATTCTTAATCTTTAAAACATTTACCCTGTAGGTTTATGTCTTATCAATACTTGTTCTCTTCACCTGTCATACAGAAAGCTAGAGGCAGCTATTTTACTTGTGAAAACCTTTCTGTAATCTTCGCTCTGAAGATATTGAGGCTTTCACAACACCTTGTCAGGCTTAATGAAGCAACCTCTAAAACTTGCAAAGAAGGCATTTGAGTGAACTATCAACCCGCCAAAGGATTGCGTTTGTTCAACACTTCCAAAGAATAAACGTCAGTAAAGCTTCTGGGCAATAACGTGCCCCCACCAGCAGCATCAAACATTTCCAGCTTTGCCTCTGCATGCAGAGTCGGTGCACATAAAGAAAAGAGTCCTCATTAAAAAAAAAAAAAAAATCTTCGGCTCATTGATTGGCGGGTTCAGTGGTTGGGAGTTTGGTATATAAACTCAGAGAACTGTGCTGATCACACAGAGGGAGTTGAGCTGAGAATCAGACATCACACCGACAGAAGACAAGATGGTTACACAGAGACAGAAATACCTGGAGAACGGTAAGGTTCTACTTTACTCTGTGCTGTCCAGTTTTAAATAACATTATGTTTCATATAAGATACCTTAATCAGAGGAACTTTATTCATTTGGTGTTTTGGTGATGAAACTAGAACAGCAATATTTCAATTTAAATCACAATTCTGTCATAGATGTGTGATCACACCAGTAAAGGAGTATAAGAATGACAGCATATTAAAAACAAAACTTGATTATAAATCTGAATACATTTTTTTCCCTCCATGTATCCAGCCCTCCTCTCAGCAGTGGCAGTACTGCTTCTGGCCACAGCAGGACGATGTGAAATGCTGACTGTCACCGTGGAGACCACAGCAACACCTGCTACATTAAACTCCTCTCCCACCACACAGCTCCCCAACAGTAAGTGTCCTCAATGGAGGCAGATGTCTCTCAGCTGTTCTCTTTAAAACTGGTTTACCGGCTTTCTACATCTATCTTGTGAACACAAATTGTTAACTTTTTCATATAAGATTTAAATTGCAAAAATGTAGAAAGATGTGTGGGGAACAGTAGTCGCTATGGTGGTCCGATTGTGCCACTCGTAATTGCCAAAGATTAACTGGGATCGGTTCCAGCCCCCCAACAACCCTGGAAAGAATAGCTGACTACAGATAACTGATTGAGGGAATAATCCATTGATGTATTAACCCATACAATTATAAATAATTGACATGTGTTAAGGTCCTACCTCCTGCTACATGGTAAACAATCAAAAGCGATTTAAAATCCTAAATTGTAATAATCTATTCTTAGAAATATTCTTTTACTAATCAAATCAAGAAAGACAAGCCTTTATTTTTTATTTATTCTGACTGATTTTTAAAACTATTGCTTGATTACCTACCCATTATTAAAGCTCCCCTTTGACTCATTTCTCAGTTAGTCAGTGATTAATTAGTGGCACATATGCAGAAATCTATGTTATAATGTTGGTCATTGATTGATAGTTAAGTCTCTCTCTCTCTCTCTCTCTGCAGGCAGCATGGAGAAGCCTCAAGTCTCACGCTTGCAAAGTCCATGTCAAAGTGCAGATGAAAACTACTGTGCCAACGGGGGGGAGTGCATGTTACCCCAAGACAGCGACAAGCCCGCCTGCATGTAAGACATTGTATCTCACATACGTTTAACAAAAGGTTCCTATAGGCTTCTCCTCCACATGCACATGTTGGTGCGTGTCGGCTCTGGAATGCACTCACATTATGTTTTTCTCTTTGTTCTGCAGCTGCAAGGACTCATACACCGGGCAACGCTGCCTCTTCCTCATTTCACCCACTCGCACTCTGCGTGAGTTAGAGAAGGTGATCGGCGTCAGTTTTGGGGTCATTCTCATCATCGTTGTTCTGGCCATCATCTTTTACTGCTTTGCTCATAAGAGGTGAGTATCTCTGTCCGTACAAGGATGCACTTGTATTAAAGAATAGGGGAATGTAGGATCAGGGGGAAAAGCCTCGAAACATTGGAAATACAAATAAATTATGTTATTAAAAATATAGATTAGATACAACTTTTGCCATTTGAAACCCCTCCCCCTTAATTCATAAGATTAGGTTGACATTTATCTTAAAAATTATTGTACAGATTTACCTTTTTCTCTTGACAAACTATAATAGTCTCTCCCTCACTATCTGTTAACCCTTTGATTAAATTATGTTTAAAAAAAAAAAACGTTTAAAATGATTAGCATTGGCGTATCCAGAGTAGTTTATATATTGTTTTATATACTTTGTTTAAAATGTTTTGAATTGTTTCCAAGCATAATTAAATGTATACTAATCCAGATCTTTCTTATTTTCAGGTGTAGAAAATCTGCCCAGCTCATAAAATCTGCACCGTCTGAAACGTCAGTGTGAACCCTACCAGCTCATCTGTTTGTCGTCTTCTTCATCGTCACCACCTTTTCAGTTATTTATAAACCATAAACCACTACTTTTTAACGTACTGTACAAACATACAGCATTGTAAATTATTCACAAACAATTAAGAGACTTTATGGACCTTTTTCCCCCATTTATTGGACATTTGGTGTGACCACTTTTCAGTAAACTGTTTATTTATTTGTAACATGTTAAGATATCAATCACTTCATTGTCTTGTAAAAGGTGCAGGAAGAACAAATATGATTATTTATTGTAACATAGAAATGTATTTATTGATAGCATTAATTTGAAATTTTTTAATAAATGTAAATAACAAATGTATGTGTTGCTGAAATTCCTTTGGGTAAAAGGTGGACACACACACACACACACACACACACACACACACACACACACACACACACACACACACACCATTATTAACTTAAGAAGATGGAGATTTAAGCTTAACAAGTATAGAAATATAAAATAGAAGTGTCCCTATGACTCATTATACCCATATATAGGTAGCCAAATATTGAGCCATTGGACAACTATTACAAATGATGTCTGCTACGGTCCATGTACTACTCCCTTGAATGGAAAATACACATTGATCTAAAGATGAACTTTAGAAGAGTCTTTTTTTGTGTTGGTTGTTTTTTAAATACTTAAAAATAAAATATTTAAACAACAAATCATTTTTTCAATCCAAATTAGGCTGGATTTTGCAAATGACTTTCCAAATTCATCAATTTTTTTATTGATTTCTTTAAAACAAGGGACAGTGTACATTAATCAACATATTAAAACATGTAAATGTACTTGAATTAGCCAAAATGCTAGTTTTCACCGATAGTCCCTTTGCCAGATGGTGATCCTAAAAGCAAGAATAAAAAAACCACTATATTGTTACACAAAAAAAAAAGTACATATTTACAATAGATGACATCACTGAATACAGGTAAGGAGCAAGTCATAATAATAAAGAAAACATTCACAATACGCACTCATACACACACCTACACCCACACATCAGTGCTGACACTGTTGGTTATCAATGAGCCACTTTGTGCTTGAATGAGTAGATGAGAACTCTCTTATAGATTGTGGTATTGAATTATATTGATGGGATGCGTTGAATGAAAAGGCAGCCTGGCTAAATGCACTTTTCCTAAATGGGATGGTGCAGTCTCCCCTAGCCGCACTTCTAGTAGCCCTGGTTGAGGTGGGCTTTAGGCTGATGAAGCCAGCCAGAGGAGGAGGAGTCAACCCACCAGTGATCTTGTAAACTAAGCAGACATTTTTGTATACTATGAGATTTTCCCAGTTGAACAGATTATACTTTTTAACAATGTGGCAATAATGATACCGGAATGGCTTTTTGTCTAGTGTTTTGAGAGCTTGTTTATATAATGATTCCAGTGGTTTTAGAGCTGTAGAGTGTGCATTAGACCAGCTTATCAGACAGTAGTTGATGTGGGAGAGAACCATTGAGTGAAGGTATAGCTTTGCTGCTGCAGTTGATAGGAAGTTTCTAATGTATCTGAAATTTGACAGGTTGAACTTCACTTTATTGCAAACCTTTTTGATGTGGGTTTTGAAACTGAGGTTTGTGTCAATGTGTACTCCTAAGTAGGTTGCAACCTCTTCTGCGGTTTTGCCATGAGTAAAAACAACTGTATCATCAGCAGACATTAAAGCTCCCATGTCATGCTTTTCCGGTTATTACCCGTCCCCTTGTGTGTTATGAAGGTTTTTATGCATGTAAACGGTCTGCAGAGTCAAAACCCTCAAAGTACACCCTGTAGCGAGTAAAACTCTAACACAGAAAATACCTCCCCAAAACGCCTCGTTGGAGATACGTCACTGCCCATTTGAGTCTTCCATTTAGTTCCGGGTACGGCATGATGTCATGCGGTACCCGGAACGAAATGGACTAATCCCGAAGAGCTATGGCCACACCCAGCGGCGCTGGCCGCACCCTCTGCCAGCCTAACATTTACTGTTGGAAGCTCTGGTTCAGTTCAAAATCGATCCAGTCATGCCAATGCCATGGACCTGTTTCCTGAAATGTGAGGAGAAATCTGAGCTGTTTGTCCTACCGACGGAAGAACCACGACGAAGTCAGTGGTTGAAATTTATTTTTAACACTGTTCCTTCAGAGGTTCGAAGAACCGGCATTTCACAGACGAAAGCTTCCAAAACATTGCCCAGTTTGAGGCCGGATATGCACAGCATTTGAAACTGAAGGACGATGCTATTCCTAGTTTGTTTGGACCGTTTGGAGCAGGGGAAGATTCGGGTAGACAACCTGTAAGTTTGCATTGTTATTTGTGTATTTATCAAACAAGGTATCTACCACGACTGTTTAAATGTGTAAACATGTTTCGGACTGCTAAGCCAGTGCTAACTGTGCTAACTAAGTTGCTAGCGTTTCCATATCAACTCTAATATCAGCAGATGGCCTTACATACATGTATCTCATAGCAGGAGAATGTCTGCATTCACACACGAAATACTCATAGACAGTATACTCCGGGTGATTTGCCGTACGGTCAGTCGCGAAACGTAATTACATTATAGCTGGCGTAGCGTGTATGCTACCGAGCTAAACAACAAGGCTACTAAGAGCTAGACATGAGTTTGCTCGGAAAAACATTTTTTTTATGCCAGCTACAATGAATGTAGCAGACTACCCATATAAGATTGCAATTGTAAACATGTGCTTGATAGCCTAATATGAACCACTATCTGTTGTTCATAGTATAGTATAGCATATTGAACAGCTGAACAACTAGCAAACGTAGATTAGCATTGTAATCCAGCTGGCAAACTGACGAACATCAAACAACTACGTTTATTTCACACTTCCAGCAGAGACAACGGGGAAATCTCTCTCTTTGCCCGCTCACAGACCCCCAAAGGACGGTACATTACAGTTAGCTTTCCTCCGACGCTGATAGCATGTATAGCTAACGAGGCTAGCTATACATGCTAGCGGGAAATATTGTATGACCGAACGTAGCAGACTACCCGTATAAGATTGCAATTATAAACACGTTATTGCTAGCCTAATATGAACCGCTAGTTTTTGTTCATAGTAATTTTATTACACTCCATTATAGTTGCCGTTCCTCCGAGCTAACGTTCATATCGTGTTTGCTAAGGTAAACAATAGAATAGAATAGGGAGGGATGAAACCCTCTTTAATGGTCACACATGCAGAGCACACAGCACACACAGTGAAATTTGGCCTCTGTTTTTAACCCATCCTAGTACAAGGAGTCTAGTACTAGGAGCAGTGGGCAGCTATTGTACAGCGCCCGGGGAGCAATGGGAGTGGGGGGGGAAGGGGGGTGTCCGGTGCCTTGCTCAAGGGCACCACGGCAGGGCAGGAGGTGAACTGGGACCTCTCCAAGTAGAAGTCCACACTCCATATTTAGGTCTGGTCGGGGACTTGAACCAGCGACCCTACGGCTCCCAGTCCAAGCCCCTACTGACTGAGCCACTACTGACTGAGCCACTGCCGGAAAGCTAGGTTAGCATATTAGCTGGCAAGCTTACTGTGTTGATTATATAGATGGATTAGATAGATCCACACTCCTACCACAACTACTACTAACGAATCTAAAACAACTAAGTTTCTCTAATATTTTGTGATTTGCATTTGATTTCGTCTAGCCAGATCCTGGCGGAAAATACATCACGGGGACGGGACTACCACACTGAGGCCTCGTCCTAAAAAGCCCCGGCTGCGCCCAGGCAAGATGCCGACAACGGGGAGGAATGGATGATATACCGTGTATATATGTATATTTATGTTCATTTTGTACATTTCTAAAAATAAAGTTTGATGGAAATACTTAGTAGGCCTATCCTTTCTTCCCTGAATTATTTGCTCCTATAACATATCATTCATATATAGTAAACCATGATTTGATTTCTCATCAAACAGTAGTAGTTTATTATAGGTAAAAATAACTTACTCTAGATAACAACAGTTGTAGGTACAGTTCAGTTAGTTAGCGTATAAAATATACGGCTGTACCGACGCCATTATAAGACTGATGTTCTGAGAGCGAGCCGAAAAAAGCACTGTTAGACATGGGCGGAGCCTCTCTGGTGGTTGACTAATCAGAACAGAGTGGCCGAGCTGACCAATCGGAGCACACTAGGCTCACAGGGAGGGGGGGGCAAGAGCTCAAACAAGCCGTTTAGGGCAGAGAGTGAATACCGGTGAATACACATACTTTACAGAGATGCTGTATGAGAAACCAATGTGAGTTTGGAAAATTGCACAGTATAAATCTATTTTAGTATACCTCAACAATGTAATTATGATCAGTGGAAATGGCCATGACATGGGCCCTTTAATACATCACATTGTCCACACACAGAAGGCAGATCATTGATGTACATGCTAAACAGGATTGGGCCCAATGCAGAGCCCTGCGGTACTCCAGTTGACAGACATAGCGCACTAGACTTATGGTTCTCAATTTTAACACATTGGGAGCGGGACGAAAGATACGATTTAAATTGGTTGGTGAATTCTATAGAAAAATGTAAGTTGAGCATTTTTTGCAATACGATGTTATGATTAACAGTGTTAAAAGCTTTCCGTAAATCAAGGAACACGGCCCCCACAACCCCACCCCTGTCCATTGATGCCTTAACTTTCACTCTGTTGAGTAATTAGCCCTGAATCCAAATTGCATTGGATGCTGTGGGAAGGAGCTGTTGTTGAGATGATTGATGATTTGTTTGGCAATCAGTTTTTCAAATACCTTGGATACCATGGGCAAGATACTGATGGGCCTGTAGTTGGATGTCATGAGAGGGTCACCACCTTTGAATAACGGGACCACAACAGCAGGCTTAATCTGACGTTTATTTTCTAGGTTATTCAAAGGAATCATTTGAAATATAAAATATTAGAAATAAGTGAAAAATGTACAACCCAGTTTCTCAAAGTCAGAGTTGATTTCTTTAAATTGTATTTTGTTTTCAATTCAAAGCCCAAATATATTCAGTTTGATGTTATATAAAACTCTATATGTGAGAGGCTGAAAGCAGACTTTTGCATTAAAAATTACTTTAGATAGATTACTTTAAACTCAGCGATTATTATAATAGTTGGTTATTATTTGCATGTTGGTTGACTATCATTACAGCTCTGCATTTGATGGTTCCGTATTATACTACTTCATTGCAATTTGAGTAAGAAATATTATCATTTTTTAAATGTATTTTTCAGATATTTTTACTCCATATTAATAGATCCAGATTTGAGTGCTACAACAGTGAAGTGCTCAAGGAGTTATTTTGCATTAATATTAACCTTTGATATAATAATTCAACTCAGACAGGGGCTATTATGCTGCATAAAAACTACTTTAAGTACATTTGTGTTGGTCATTTTCACTTTTACTTAAAGGGGACCTATCATGCAAAATGCACTTTTGTACGTCTTTTATACATGAATATGTGTCCCCGGTGTTCCAGGGAACTCACCAAGTGTCAGAAAACACAACCCTCTCTATTTTCCTCCATACCCAAATCTCTAAAAAAGGGGCTGCAACGGATCTGATAAAAACTGATCCAGATTTGAACACTGTCCTGACGTCAGGACGGTGGCGCTATGGCTATTGGGCCAACTCCACCAATCAGGAGGAGACAGCCACGGCCATTGCCGTTCGAAAGCGCTGGAGACGCTGTAGTACATATGCCAGGCCTCTAGATGGTGCTGTTCTCACAGAATCTGCCCTTGCAAAAACAGAGCTAAAAAATGTCAAATTGAGCAAAATGAGGCATGGCTAAAATGCATGATCTGTTTGGTATTTTGAAAAAAAAAAAGTATAAATATGCGTTATATAGGTATGGTCCTACACTATATTATTATAATATAGCATGATAAGTTGCATTTTTAAATGAATGTAAATCCATTATATTATCTCCTTTTACTACCTTTGTGAATGATCTGAATACTTCTAGTACCAGTTTCTACCTTGTTTCTACCTGTTATATTGCAACCTACGATTTGTTATGATAGGCCTACAACATACAGTATGGTCTGTACATTTCAACAAAAGAGGTGAAGCTCCATGGATCTGAAGAAGGGTATCAAATGATGACGAAAGCAGCTCCTCCTTTTTTTGTTTTTAGTAAATCGGTGCCTTCAGGATCCGCTTTTTGAATTGGACGTTTGAAGTAGGAAATTATCTAAATTACAGGAGTCTCTCACCTCACCCAGACCTCAGGAATGAGCCTATTGTTTTTTTAGTTTGTATGTGTCAGGAGAAGCATCGCCTTCCCCCTCTTCCTAATAGTTTTTTGGACAAATCGGAAGCGTCTCTGATCCAGCCTGCTCCACACCTGCGGTGCACCGAGCCTGCTGTCAGCGACCTGTGCGCCTCAACATGGGGAACCCTTCGGCGATCCTCTCAATGATCGGTAACGTTTTGTTTTTTGTTTTGTTTTTTGTTTGTTTTTTTGTTAGGTTTAAGTAATTTTAACACATTTGTTTGACGCTGATTTGACGTGTGGATTAGGATTGCCAGACTTCAGGTGTGTGCAGTTAAAGGGATCATTGTAACGCAGCGTCACACAAAGCTACATTTAAAGGAGGCTAATAAGAAATGGCAATGAAGCCCCTGATATTATATAAGAAGCAGCTAAGAAGCACACCTTACTGTTATAAATTGCAGTTTGACGCAATACTTTACTTCAGTGTGTGTTATGCTAGGCTATATTAGGTAAACTACTTCAGATTCAAATTGTACAAATCCAAACCTCTTTAAAATCCCCATTTAGGCTAGATGTGTTAAAAGAAGTCCCATGTAGACACACTGAATCAGTATGCTACTTTCACATCAACATAATAACACTCCTCGGGGACATTTTTTGCCAGCACAACAAGTAACCTGGTATGGAAGCCCATTAGAGACAAAATTAAAATAAAAACCTAAATGTAAACTATTAAAAATAATAACACAATATCATCAGAATCTCCAACATATGTATGTTTTATTTAAATAAAATATAAAATTGGATTATCCTATTTCGTCTTCACATACTCGAACGGGCGGTCTATGACCATATTCAAATAACAATGAACACGTTGTTATTCATTCAATTGAATAAGGTTGTATGTAGGCTACCCCATTTTTTCAGAAATAAACATTTAAATATTTAAAGGTGCAATGTGTAATTCCTGCCCACATCCGCCAAATAATTAGGGGGCAGCATTTCCACTCTTCTACTGGGTTCATACAAGGTACATTTACAGTTATTAGTTATTTAAAGAAAAAAGAAAAACACCAGGGTAAGAATATGCAAAGTTAGCTTTTGTCAAACTGAGATTGAAAACTCAATCTGTCAGTCGTGTCATTGAGGCGGCTCTCCAGGTAGGATGTAAATCATTCTCTGTAAGCGGGACCTTAAATGCTACCTAATGTAACCTGCCTCTGAGGAGCAGCGCTGTACAGACATTTCAAAGGAAATATAATAGACCTACCTTTTACACTATATTTTGTAAACTGCAGTTACTAAGAAGATCAAGACCTACAAAACATACTTATATTAGGGTCCATCCTGCTGTGTAATGAATACTTTTACAATCATTTAAAGTTTTTCTATTGCCATTTATTTGAAATGAAGGAGATATACATTTAACTTCTAATGAAAAAATATCTGAAAAGTGTGTCCACTTCTCTAAAATGCAGCTAATGTCAATTTGAAAGAATCTCTCAAGGAATAATCATTTCTTCCCCTTTGCATCAAATCTTTAATGAGATAAAGATACTGCAGCAGTTTGAATTTTGCGTAGTGAGTATTCTAGGTTAGATTTAATTAGTAAAATATAGGATTATTTGTTAAATTAGGCAATATGATGAGTTATCACCAAATCTAAGGCCTGTTTCCTGAGTTTTATGTTATTTCAGTAATCAGAAATGGAGTGGATGTTTTTTTGGAGTACGTTGAACGTCTTTGCCACATACCTGTGATAAAGAGCTGACGCACAAGCTGAGCTCAGAGCCTGAGGGATGTTGGCAATCAAACCGGGAATGGAAGATTTATTATTTGAAATCACAAGCGGTCTGAATAAATCTGTCATATGCTTGTTGTTTGGGCTCATTCTTGTCCATAAAACTTATATTACATTCTGGCTTATATAAACTGATGCGTACCCAGTGGTGGAGGAGTACAGAGATCCTTTGTTTAAGTAAATGCACCAATTCTAAATACTCAATTACAATAACTGCATTTAAAATTCAACTTAGATCATCAAAATGTATTTGAATAATCAGGAAAAATATTCTTTCTGCAGATAAAATGTCCTCTGTGTCCCTCTTTTAAGTTATAGTTAAATTAAAAGTGTTACAAAACAAATCAGAGGGGTCATGAGATAATTTGTCGAAGAGCCATGAAGAACATAAAGACATACAGTTTGTCTCCTTTTTTTCCCCCTTCTTCTAAACAACAACATTCTGCTGCATACATTTGTATTCATGCTTTTGCCTTTTTGTAATATATTGAATACTTCATTTGGGCATCGTGCTGACATTTAACCACTGAGACGTTTAGAGATTAAATCTGCTACTCACAACTCACAGACATCTGGAACGGGGCAAGGGGCCCCAACTAGACACTACTTATTGGTAAGGACTCACAAGCCAAACTAGTTGTGAATGGCAAAATAACATTAACTGGTAAAACATATAAAGTGAAGTAAAAATAGAATATTTTCCTCTGAGAATACTGAATAAAGTACCACACATTTGAGGTTGAGTGTGTCAATGTCTCAATACATGTACACTGCAAGTCCTTACAGGATAATTGTAAAAACGTGTAATTTGGAAGTGTTTTGCGTCTAATAAACCTACTTGTATTCCTCTTTTTTATTTTGTGCGTGTAAGCACACTTGAGTTTTTATGATAAACCAGTTATCCATCATGATACGAGTAGTTTGTCTGCCCTGATAATCTTCCTTCTGTATAAAGTAAGCTTGTTGTGCCACTGTCCACTTTACCCTACATTCATTTACATTTGTATCATCCAGTTCTGTGTTGCATATTATACTTTTCACAAAGTCAGAAGAGTCCAAATCCAGCTGCTGTGCAAAATACTTTTAAAAAAGTGAAAATTCTGTCCAAATGAATGCGGTAAGGTCAGAAGGGGGTCATGGTCACATTGGCTCTGGCGAGATTAGAGTGAGTCATCATTAATGATCACTGTCTGATCAGACAGTGACTAAACAATAATAGGCAAAAGTTCCCTATGTTCTTTCCTCTAATCATCCTAATCAGAAACACCCAACAACCGGGCTGAAAATATCTGTGCATCCATAACAACAGACAGAAACCCAGAGAGGGCCGGCTTTTATAGCGAGTTTATCCAGATTCAGGTTCCAGGTTCAAGTTTTCTCCCCTGCTTGCAGGAATGTGGGCGTTCTGCAGATTCAGCACATTAACAGTTGTGCAGGCTGCTACAGGCATGTGGGGCTGGGCACCATGAGCCACACCGCATCAAATCATCATCATGCTCTAGCTAGGCAGGAAATCTGTTTATTCTCTGCAAACAAATATTTTCCTTACAGTTTTTACTTCTTGCAAGTTTTGTAAAACAGTTAACAAAAATGTAAATCAATTTGGGGTGTTGGCGATTAATAATTAATATAACAATCCCCCTTCTAATGTACAATGTCATATTTCAAAAGCAAATTTATTTTGCATGTAATATTTCATTTATTTCAATCAAGTTCTCAGTTTAAATGTCGAATGAAAGTCATTTATAATGAAAAGTAAAGTCACGTAGAAGTCACATCAAAGTTTTCATGTGGGAGAACATGTTTAGGTTATGATTTTGTTTTCCTTTATCTTAAATAAATGAATAAATACACTGAAAAACCTGAAATGTTGACTTTAATTAAATGTATTATGTCAACAAACTTCACATAACCTAACCGTATTAGGTGAGTTGAAAGCAATAATATTAAGTTGAACCTAATATATGTTTTAAACCTAATATATTTGCTGAAATGTGTCGACATAATACATTTAATTAAAGTCAACATTTCAGTTTTTCAATGTAAGAATGTCAACTGTGATGTCAAATATCAAATATGAAAACCAGCTTAATGTCGACCATGCAGCTTGTATTAAAGGATCTTAAATGAGACAAATATTCTCTGTTCAACAGGTGTCATGCTGCTCTGGCCGAATGTTCTCACCAGGAGTGTCTCCTCCAGACTGCAGACTGCAGACAGCACCTCTCTATCTGCAGGTAACTTTCAAAAATAAGATGTTGTGAGAGGATGAATCATTAGTGCATTGTCAGGATTACTAGGCTCTTTAAAAGTGTAAATAATACAATTTACAGTCTGCATTTTGGATTTGTTAATTTTGTAACAATCAGCTGATTGACATACAATTAGGCAACTGTTTTGATAAGTGATTTTTAGTTCGAGGTGCTTTTAAAGTTGATATCAGAAATCAGGATGTGCTCTGAATGATGGTAAAGATCTAAGAGTTTTGGTCTCTTGATAAGAGGTTTTCTTTTGCGGTCTAGTTATGAAGATCAGGTCTGTATGTTGTGTCTCAAGAATAATGCATAGATTGAATTAGCTGTCTTGGTTTTTCAGGACAGAGAGAAGAGCGCCCTCATGTGGTGAAACGATCAACACAGAATTGCGGCAGCACGTTTGACAGCTACTGCATGAACCATGGCCAGTGCATGCTGCTGGAGGACGGGCACAAACACCACTGCCAGTACGTGTGTGTGTGTGTGTGTGTGTGTGTGTGTGTGTGTGTGTGTGTGTGTGTGTGTGTGTGTGTGTGTGTGTGTGTGTGTGTGTGTGTGTGTGTGTGTGTGTGTGTGTGTGTGTGTGTGTGTGTGTGTGTGTGTGTGTGTGTGTGTGTGTGTGTGTGTGTGTGTGTGTGTGTGTGGTGTGTGTGTGTGTGTGTGTGTGTGTGTGTGTGTGTGTGTGTGTGTGTGTGTGTGTGTGTGTGTGTGTGTGTGTTAGTTATAACGGTTATTTTTGTGTTGCAGGTGTGAGAAAGGCTTCTCTGGCCCAAGGTGTAGCACCATGCAGTTTGTGGTTCAGAAAGGGGAAGATCAGATAGTTGTCATCATTTTCTGTGTGAGTCTGCTGATTATAGGTCTGGCTGGAGTACTGTACTTCTTCTGCAAATGGTAAGGCTTTGCTCTGTAAATTTGGGTTTTGTGTGTTCCTGGATTTGATGTCATAAATGATCAGAAACCAGTGTTTATGCTGCAGCATCAAAGCTTCCATTAAAGTACCGTAGCATTCATGTCCAGATTTCTCAAAACACCACCGTTTTGTGTGAAACTCATAATTGAGAGAGAAACAAATAACCAGGGGTGGAATGTAACTTCAGTAACTTACTGAGGTGTAAATAATGTGATTAACTTAAAATAATGATGTATCGAATTTTTTGTTCACTCTCACAGCTTTCATAGCGTCTTCATCAGCAAGCAGCTTTCTTCAGTAAAACAGCCCTAAATAATACCTTACAATACCTGACCAGCAGGGACACAGTTAGTTGTCTATTTTGTGGTAGTTCATACTCCTACTCTGCTTATGTTTTTAAGCAAATATTGTCCTTTTTTCACGAATTACAAAAAGATGAATTTAAACTGTCATCATGTCAAACCACCAGCACCTACAGGTGTATCCCGTTTCAAATCAAGCCTCTCATGGTCTAAAGGCAGGCCCTAGAATCCTGAGGGATGGGCAAATACACAACAAGCTTATTTTTTTACATTTGAAAGATAGTTCTTAAGACATTTAATCTTGTTCCCCTGCACTTTTTTGTGGATTTTGGAATTCAAAGTAAAAGATCTGGTTAGCAACATTTTTTTAGATTAAATAAATGATGTTCTGTGCTTTTTTTTTTAACAGGTACAAGAAAAACAAATGTGGACGTCAACAGAAGCGGCAAGGTTACAAAGGAGTCCAGATAGCTTAGACACACACGCACACGCACACGCACACACACACAGAGTATCCATCCACCCACTGCCAGTAAAGGCAAACTAGTATTTTCCCAGTTTCCTAAAAGAACATTTGAACACACCTTTGTGTCCTGGTGATCTCACACTCAGCAGGTATAAAGGATGTCACTTCATAAAGCCTGAAAATCGGCACAAAGAGATTAAAAATGTGTAATAGCTTTTGTTTAGAGCTGCACTTGTTCTAGTGTTACAGCCCCGGCTGCCCTAATGTTTGAAACATGAATGGTGAAGCGCACAAAGACAGTTTCAGTGGGTGACAATGATTATGGGGCATGGATAAATCATCACCCAAATTTGAAAAACATATGCCTGAACACATTTTAGGCATAAAGCAACATACAGTCATTTCTGAACACTTGTCCAGGGTCTGTGCTTCTATGGCAACAACCCATTGTTTAACTGACTAATGAACATAAAAATAATCATTGCCATTAAAGATTAAGCTGTAGCATCTTTACACCAAGCCCTATGTGTTAGCAGTCACTGCGAGATATGTTTTTAAGATTATTATTTGTTTGATAATGCTGTCTTAACCATCTAGCTGCCTCCTGTCTGCTGATTTTTTTCTACAGTAAAGTTCTTCACAGTTCTACCATTTCAGCAATGTTATGCTCATATTTATGGTTTTTCTGTCTTCTGTTGTCATGATGAATATATACATTTAACAAAAACTGTAATTAAACAAATATTTCTATGTTTTATTATATGAAATGTGTTAAGTGAGAAAGAATTTTGATAATTTATTATAAAGTATTAATGTGTAAAATGGTTTCTTGTCTTGTTTTGGAAGCTCTGTTACTGCTACAAAAATAAACTATTTTGTGTTTCATTGACTTTGGTCTCACTTCACATGACATTCTTGTCTGAAGGGTTAAGAGTCTTCACATTTTTCTCACGTATGTATACAGTTTTCACATTGTTCTCCTTTGTGATCAATCATTCCTCTTTTCTTTTTAATATTACATTTTTAAATTGCAGTATCAGCTCTAAATGTACCAGAAAAACATGTTTAATAAAATAAAAACGAATTATTGTCTGTATTTAAATGATGTCTTTCAAGTCTTGAGTGTTTTTGCTTTTATTAGTAAAAGTTAATCATCAGATAAGTAAAATAACTTTCCTAATGTAGGATGCTACGAGACGGAATCAGAGTCTTGTACTCTAGATCTCTAATCAATCAAAGTCCATTTGTATCGCCCAATATCACAACTCGTTTGTCTCAGTGGGCTTTATAGGTTAAACAAACAACATTGCAAACAATAAAGTTAAGACAAGATAGTGTGTAAAATACAAATAGAAATAAAACAAAGTAAAATAACATACAACCAAAGAGAATAGAAATACTTAAATCAATAAAATAAAGCACCATAAAATTAAAATAAATACCATAAAATGCCAGCTCTAACTGAAGGTCTTCAACTCACTCTTAAAAGTTTGGACAATCTGCTTCAGGAGCTCCAGAGAAAGGGAGCTTGGTCGGTCAACACTCTGAGTCCTGATATGTTTTTTAACAATCTAATAAAGAGCTCAGTAACCTAAAGGCTTCTAAACACCTACTCACATTATGACAGGTGTAATTAATTAAATGAACAACAGCTGCTTTTGATTGACAGTTTCGAGGACCAGCCATTGTTGAAACATTACCAGTTGCACCTGTAATGTTCCTGCTCAAATACCTCATTCACACCAACGCAACTCCGGTTCAAACTCCATGCTAACCAGGGAAAAAGAGAAGAGTAGAAAACGGAAGCACCTAAGATACTGCAGTGGAGGCAGAAAACACAGAAAGCGGTGATCAAGGTAAGTCACTAGAAAACAGTAGAAGTTTGGAGAGACATATTTCATATACCAGGGACCCCCCTGTGGCCCCCCTCCAAAAATAAAAAAGGTTACAATATTACGATTTATTGGATAAATAAAATCAGAGACCCGGATGTACAATGAAGATTAAACTGTTCATTACCTTATAAAAGCAAATACTGTTTATGCTTTTTTATTAAATTGTCACTTAAAGTTACTAAAACAAAAACTCTAAATGAAAAAAAACTACTGAAACAAAGAATTGTAACTTAAATGTACTAAAACAAATACCTTTACAAAAACAAATACCAATTACTGTATTTTATGTTTATTTTACACAATTACTTTATACTGTCTTTGTCTTTTTAACCCACTTCTATTCTGCCCCTCTCATGAAATAACTGGCCCCAGCCTGGCCACCCTAAAATTGGTCTAGAACCGCCACTGGCTATTTCCTTTTCCATCGATTGATTCTCATCTGATCTTGTGAAAGTTATTGCATCAAACCAAATTCGTATTATTACATTATATAATTATTTTTGTTAACTAAATCTGACTTTAGGGTTTCAAGGTTACCCTGCACTTATAATAATGCTATGAAATAGCTACGTTTGTATGTCCTGGATGCAGGGTTGGGTGAGCTAATCTGTAACTGCTTCAACACTACTCTCTTACTCATCAGTGCTTCGCCCCGAGTCAATGAGCTGTCTTGAATGTTCTTTAGCAGTGAGCACACATAAACTTGAACGCCCTTAACATAACTTAAGACATACTTAAAAACACATAAGCATTAAGTTACACACACAAAGGCCCAAACAAACCCATTAAGTGGCCCTCATTTCATTCTAAATAAAGAACCTGTGCAGCTACATATCCGAAATTCAAGAATAGCTATGCTAATCTCTACTGTGCTCATTCTGTGTAACAGTTATTACCTAATTATTACATAAGCAATAGTAGTTGGCTCATTGCAGTAAGTAATGTGGTTGCCGGAAGCCCGTAAAGCTGCAACCTTGTGTGTCATTTAAGGAAACAAAAACTTCCACGTGTACCACGTACATATTTTGCAGATCAAATATGGCTCTAATATTTAACTGTAGCCTCACTAACACTCTGCTTCTGGGGGTGGTAATGTTGGTCTCTTGTGTCACCCCTGAAATATCTCGACTGCTATTGGATAAATTGCCATGAAACACAGACATTCATAATCCCCAGAGGAGGAATACTCAAGACTGCCTTTTCCTCTGGTGCTTCTGCCATAACTTTTCACTTATTCAGTGAAACGTCTCAAAATGAATCGGCTCACACTTCAGTACAGGTATTCATGATTCTGAGAGGATGAATCATAGTGACCACTCTAATTGTAGTAACTTTGGTGATCCCCTGATTTTCGAACACCATACCAACATTAAAATGTCTTCCCCAATGATTTGATTTGACATCAGCCTCAGTTCTACTTTGTGATTGATTGCTAATTAGCAAATATTAGCATGCGTAAAATGGTGAACCTGCTAAATATCAGCTTGTTAGCATGTTGATAAGCATTAGGCTCAACAAAAAGATTGAGAAAGTTCCACATTTATAGCGCAACAAAAATAGATCAACAGAAACTGCATTCATCAGGATAAAATACAGCTGTCACCGAAAAGGCGTTTCGCAAACTGATACAGGTGATACAAAGCATTAAAATAACATTAAAATACTAATCTAAGGAAGGGTTGAGACCAAACAGACGTTTAATTCTGACAGATTCAAACCTGTAACTGTTTTGTTACAATGCATGATTCAAACTTATCCAAATAGAAACGATTGTATCTGTGTGTCTGCGTGGCGTTTAGTTTTCCTCCTTCATGCAGTGTGTTTACAATGGCGGCTATTATGAGGTACTTCTCTCCTGGCATGTGTCACACTTTCCACACGTTCATATCACATATCCCCAATGCCATCACACATAATCCAAACAATTCAATTCCAAAGCCTTCATAAACAAAACCAGTAAGGAGCTTCTGGTCGTTGTTGAAGGTTCCCAGGCAGCATTCCTGGCAGGTTTGTATTGGATCCCACCAGAGCTGGAGGATGGGTCATGCTCTGAGTGCAGACACAACAACATAACCAACACACCCATCTGTGCAGCATCCCCACCCAAGCCTTAAGGTCTCCTCTTGGTTACAGTGTACTCAAATAGTAACATCATTTAATCAGACACACACAAACAACACACACATACACACACACACACACACACACACACACACACACACACACACACACACACACACACACACACACACAGTCTTCAGACACAGAAATATTCCTGGTGGGACAACTTTAAGCCTATATAGTATTGAAGTATGATATGATGAGTGACTGACAGAATCAAACAAGAAATGTTTTGTGTTGTCATGTTTTCAAAACATTAAAGAAGGTTAAAATGTTCCTGATTACCATCTTTCATCTGTGGCTCACGAGGTGGAGCAAGGTTATAAACACATAAATTATCCCAAAAAAATGCAATTTATGATTGTGATTATTGCTTTTCATGCATGTATTTTCTTTCTGCGGACCATGTAATATTGTAGAATTGCAGTGATGACCTCGACTTTCAGTTTATTACCAACACAAGCGTATGTTTATCATCTGTTAAACTCATTAAACGTTCTCACACTTTGAATATTCCCAAACTAAAATACAAATATGTCTATGAAATCAGCTTTTTTTTCAGTTTTTGTAAAGTTGAAACAAGGTCTTCAGTTGTATCAGAGTTGTGAGTGTTTTCTTGTGAGTGTGTGTGTGTGTGTGTCTATGTAGCTAATGGAATCACTTGGTAACTTTGGCCTGATTCTTGAGCATAGAGGGAGACGTGCGGAAGCAATAACAATTACAGAATACATTAAAATGTTTTGTGTCTTGGTTTTGTTCGGGATTATTATTCAAGTCAGAAGCCTTTTCATATGTGAGGGCATAGGATGCTTAATCGATTGCCCCAGGCGATACACACACACACACACACACACACACACACACACACACACACACACACACACACACACACACACACACACACACACACACACACACACACACACACACACACACACACACACACACACACACACACACACACACACACACACACACACACACACACACACACACCCTTTCTTGGTTGTTGCATATAAGAGGCAGGCGTTGGTCTATAAAAGCTGAAGCTGCACCCAGTGGAGGTAAAGAGAGCAAAGCACAACCTCTATCAGCAGGGGAGACACACACACTTGCACACACAGATACACAGATTAGCTGCCATACACACAACAATCTTCCTGGGATATGAACCCTCTCATCGTCACCTGTCTCTTCTGCTTCGGTAAGTCTGGACATGTACTGGATATTCTGTGTTTCGAGAGTGTGAATTGATGAAATGGAAAGAAAGATAAAAGTAAAATGGTATGAGGGCAGAGGGAGGGAGCTAGAGGAAGAAATAGATGTTTCTGCAAGTGAGAACAGGAAAAGGATATTCATTTGTTTGAGAGAAATAATTATTTGTGTCAGAAGTGTCAACATATTTACATATAAAGCTTTGATTGAATGTTTTTCGTAATTGTTGTTGTCTGGTGTGAATGGTGCGTTCAGGTACAGTGCAGTTCTGGATGTGGACTGGTTGTACTGGTTTCAGTTTGTCTAATTTACAAGATGTCACTATTTTAAGATGAATGGATGACTCAGATGTATGTGGTCCATGATTATAGTCTACATTACATAGTAAAAGGAAGTAAGGAACCTTTAGTTTTTGTTCATCATAGAAAAAAAGGAGAACTGTTGTCTGTTTCCTTGTTGCTTTTTAAGTATAATATGAAACATATCAGATAAATATAATTCTTCACAGTTCTACTCTTAGTTTAGTTTCTAAACTTTTATAGCTTTAAAAGAGCATTATCTATGTTCCTATTTACTGAGTTTCGACAATAAATGACATCATGTGATATGAACTTTGACCCTAATAATCGTATCCATATCCATATGCGGATTTGATGTGATCGCCCTGACATTCCCTTTATCTTTGTGTCCTGTGTGTTTTCCACTAGTGTCCGGTGCTTTAGGTGCCCAGGGTTCTGAGGCCACGTTCTCTGGTGAACTATCTGGAGTGACTTCGGGTCCGGCCTCTGGGGAGGGCCTCCAGAGTTTGCTGAGCGACGATGACGAGCTGGAAGTAGACGAAGAAAATGTCAGCATTTTTGGTATGAGAAATTATTTTCTTCTTGGCCTTTACTTTTTTAGCATTTAATTTCTTTGAAAATGCTGGGTTATGTGATTTGAGGCTCATTTGTCAATTTAAACAGGATAACTAAATATGCCATTAGTACAATATGATTTTCCTAAATACAATGGAGAAGTGTAGAAACAAAATTCTCTTGTACTTTATTTAGGATCTGCATTAGCTATTTGCACAACAGTTTTTTCCTTGGGTCTACATAAAAAGACAATATATTCAACATCAGATTATTCACAATCCAATGTAACAACAAAATTAACCTTTCAAGTTGTAAATAATTCAGTAAATGAAAGCGACAGTATTCAGGATATCTTTGTTGATCATGTAATACTTTTTTTTGACTTTGTTTTACTGTCACACAAGTAGAAAGATTTATGATAACATCAACTGTTTTTGATTTGAAGTACATGAAACACTTTTATCAGAACCTATCATTGTAGAAACTCAAATCATGTCAAAAACCATAGCTACCATTTCACTTGCAGTTTCTCCTGCTTCAGAGTTACACCCCAGTAAAGATGAGAAGAAGAAAAGGAAAGGCAAGAAGAAGAACAAGCACAAAAGCAAAAGCACGACTCCTCTCAACCCCGAGTCCACGTTCTTCACTAACGGGTACACGTCCACACACACCACCACGGAGGATCCCTGCACCTCCAGCCACGTGGACTACTGCATTTATGGCAACTGCAAGTACATCGAGGGCCTGCAGGAGCCTGTGTGTATGTGAGTACAGCATCACTTCACTTTTTGTAGTTGCATATTTGTACACTAACAAAACTGAAGCATTGACTTTAATTAAATGTATTATGTCAACAGATTTCACATAACTGTATTAGGTTAGTTGAAAGCAGTAATATGAAATTGAACCCAATATTTTAAACATAATATTATTGCTTTCAACTAACCTAATACAGTTATGTGAAATCTGTTGACATAATTCATTTCATAAGTCAACGGTTCAGTTTTTTCAGTGTCAAGAAAAGAAAATCAATCCTCCTTCTGTAAACTCTTCACTCAGATGTAATAAGGGTTATGACGGGGGGCGCTGTGAGATCCAGTCTCTGGAGGTACTTAAAGACCCGACAGATCAGATCAACAATACTGAGCTGGTGCAGATGGTCCTGGTGATCATCGCTGTGGTCCTGTCGGTTATCAGCTGCACCGCCATCCTGCTCATGACCTGTGCTCAGTGAGTATTCAAGACACACACACATCAGTACTTTGTGGGTGGAAGGCCAGTGAGGATTATTGTAGTTAAACCAGTTCAAACTTCTTAATGAAAGGTGCAAAGATGCTAGCATAGCGACTTCATGTGAACCTCACCCACAAACTTAACCCTGCTTAAGCTAACAAAGGTAGAAGTGATAAGCATTATTGTAGACATGGGAATGTTGCCAATTCGATAATGAGATAAGAAAGATTATGACAACATATTGTACAACACGCAAAGAAACATGAAACTGTGATCTTACTTAAACCGATTTAAATGTGTCCATAACAAGGCGGTACTCACCAGCATTATGTTGTTTTGCTGGCTCATTCCTTTTGTAGAAAGTAAATTCAACCCCACTGGATTACAGTGTACTGGCTATCAGAGTGGCATGCTTCTCTGTCCTTCTTTAGTATCACTTTTCACAATAGTTGGAACTATAACAACACCTTTAATCTCCTGGAATAGAGAGATTATTGAAGCTTTAAGCATGAATGCCTGAGGGCAAAACACCCTCATAAAACCCATGAAAACCAACATATAATGCCCAGAAACCCTTCGTAGCATTTGGACACACTGATACATTAACACACCCAAACACGCCCAAACTATAAAGGCATTGCTCATGATTTTAACAGGACTCCATGATCCACCTGTCTCATGGCTCATTCTTACTTTTACCGTAGACTTTCATTTCACTGTGAACTATGTCACGTTGATGAATGTGTTCCTCATTCTTTATTTGAAACTGCCACCCACTTTATCTTAAGTGTCCAAGTCATTTGATGTTTATTCACAGTTCCCTATCAATATGTATCTAAATCACAGCTATTGTTGGAATGTAGGACAAAGTCTAAAGTCCGTTGCTTACAGCATCATAGCCAAAGTGGATAGAGAGAAAGTAAGACTTATTACAGAGTGAAACCTACAAATGATTTTCTTATCAAAACAGCCTGAAAATCAACAGTCACACTTTTAATATTCAATACATTTAATAGAAATTGCTGCCAAAACACAACAAAAGGCCACCTTAAATTTCATTTGTCCAGACAGCATCAAAGCCATGTAACTGACTCCCGCTTTTCAAAATGACTTTACTGTGATCATCTGATAAGAAGTGTCCAAGTTTCATACTCACGTTGAATGTCTTTTGTAGCTACAGGTCACATAAAAACTTCCTGGCATCCTACCTGGGAACTGGGACGGAGCAGGAGAAGCTACAGAAACCCATGGGGGATGTTGTGGTGTGAGGGCATAAAGTTACCATGAGGTAAGTGTTGCTGAGTTTCTGACTGTCACTTCTACTGTGCTTTTATAGTGCTCAATAATTCATACTGCGTTAAATAGATTACATCGTAAAGTTTTGTAATTCGTAAATATCTCAATACCCCAAACTTGAAAACGTTCGCTTAACTTCCTCCTTGTGATAAAGCTTAGCAACCCTAATTGCTTATGTTTGTAACATGCTGTTTTATTTTAAAGTAGTGTTCATTGGCTGATCCTTTGTGTGTAAAGAGATGGATGCCGTTGTCCCTTCTTACCATCTCCAAAACCAAAAACACGAGGGCGAAGTCTCAAACTTTTCCGTTGTTTGTTCTAACGTAAGCGGCGAGCGTTAGCATGTCCGCCTATCTAGCTAAGATAGGGATAACACATATTTTAGTCCATCACCTAAAGGTATTTTCTGTTGTAAAAATAAAGTGAAACATACTGTTTAAAAATAAGACAAAAAAATAATAAATCTAACCTCAGTCTTGCATGTTTAAGTATGTAGACTGAGCAGCTAAACAGGTGTATCAGTATGTTAGATCAAAAGAACAGCCTAATCCTACATAAATCCTTATCATACTTATAATACTATAGGACAATCTACTGTATAGCTCTAAAATACACAAAATACTATTTCTTTATTCAATAATTAGGACCCCATATACCGAGTTTATGTTTTGAAAGGCATACTACCTAGCCAATGGTTTGTTAATGCCATTTTTACATGCCGTAAGATGGACATCCAATCAGGCACTCCTGCATTTCCGGTGGTGTACATTTTGGTGATGTATTACCGCCAAAAGTCTTGCTTAAGTCCTCAGAGGGTGTCGTCAGGCCTCCCCTCACGTGAGCCTTAAGCCAAACAGGAAAGAGTGGGATCAGAGAGTGACAGAGAGCCGCACGCCTGTTGTTGTTTTTTTAACACGCAAGTAACCTCACGCAAAGAGGAATGCCCACCAGAGGAATTATTTTGGATTATCCTGGGGATGTATCAGCCTGCCCCATCCCTGCACTGCATACCAGCGAAAAGACAGAAACCACACATTCGATCAAACACATTCACCTGTGTGTCTCAAACAATAACAGCACAGACACACTGACTGTAAATGACCGTGAAGTAACAGCTTAATTACTCCACATACATGTGGTCAGATCTCACTGAGCAACACACGCACAGCTTGCAGACTTCACATGTTCAAACAGAAATATTTAGCCTCCAGACAAACAATGAGGCTGTGCAGCATTCTCCTAAAAGCTGCGTCACTCAGTGTCCACAATAAATGTGTCTTTCAAATTGCACCTTGCTGGCTTGAGATTGGATCAGCACCCCAGCCTTGATTCTCACTCGCTTTAAATAGTTTAATTAATGTGAAAACTATGGCCTGGGTTAGGTATTATTTGTCAATCAGTTGAATCAGTTATGATAAGGGTTTACTCACCAAAGCCATTGGCGAAATAGGGGAAGTCAACGGCATAGCTTCAACAAATGACAAGAAAGGAGCGGTCAGACCATTTGACAGGTTTTAAATGAGTAAGAATTAATTATCAAACCATGGCAAGTACAGTAGGTCATAGTTGAACTAGGAAATAAGTCTGTAGGCTTGTTCAATCAGATTCATTTCTAAGATTATCATTTTTTTAAATTATATGCTTAATGGCCAATGGTAAATGATCATACTTTGTACTAAAGAAAAGTGCACATACACAGGGTTAAATTGAACATTTAACTACACTGTAGTGTATATGCTGACATGTACTTCCTTTAAAACGTTTTTTATAGCAGTTGAATTTTATCTTGAAAATAGTTTTACTTTGACTTAAAATGCATTGCATTATGTTCACATAATGATTGACTTTTGATTTCTCTCCATCTCTCCTCAGCCAGCTGCGCGACTCAAAGACAAAGCCGACCAGAAGAAGTAGAGTGAATAGACAGCTTTATTAGATGTTGTGTAAAAAACATTGTCCAGAACTTGTTAGAATGTAATTTATTTAGTGTGATTATTTATTGCTTATGACTGTATGAGTATGATTGAGTGTTGGACTATTGTGAACTATGGACTTGCGAATGTGCGGTTTGGTTTTATTTATTTGCTGCTGTTATAGGTCAGAGAAAAGCTCCTCATCTCTCTCTGGGATGGGATTTGATCACCAATAAAGTGTCTCAGTGTTATATGAAAGAGTTATTTATTTATGCATCTATGCCTCTGAATTGTGTGTTTACATTCCCATCTGCGGAGGCATCCCATACCTCTGCAGCCTGCTCACACAAACACCAACCAAAAGCATGTTGTGTGTGTGTGTGTGTGTGTGTGTGTGTGTGTGTGTGTGTGTGTGTGTGTGTGTGTGTGTGTGTGTGTGTGTGTGTGTGTGTGTGTGTGTGTGTGTGTGTGTGTGTGTGTGTGTGTGTGTGTGTGTGTGTGTGTGTGTGTGTGTGTGTGTGTGTGTGTGTGTGTGTGTGTGTGTGTGTGTGTGTGTGTGTGTGTGTGTGTGTGTGTGTGTGTGTGTGTGTGTGTGTGTGTGTGTGTGTCATTTCTATATATAACGCTTTTCAACTCATTAACCGTTGTGTTGCCATAGCACTGAAGTGTTTTTAACAGCGGAGTAACGCCTAAAGCTTTGTGAATGAGTCGACAACAAACAGGTGCACTGGGACAAGAAGCGGGGGCGTGTTCAGTCTGATCTATTTTGAGATATTTCCAGGTAACTTACCTCCTATCGCATATACAAACACATACTTGAACATAATTCGATGTTTCACGTCAGGACAAAGGAGCCTAGAATAGACTGAGCAAAAAGAGGGCGACACAGTTCCACACAAAGACAAGTGTTGAAGTGCAGCTCAGAGTTTAGTGAAAAAGGCCATAGCTACCAGAACAAAATAATAAGATGTTAAGCGCATGTTGACATGAAAAGAAGATGGTTTAGCCAAACGTTACTACTTGCACTGCATTGGCTTCTCTTTTCAGCCATGGAGGTTGCAGCTTGAAAAAAGTTGTGTTTACAGTGTTGCTCAGCAAAATACATTGTACATTCTTGAGGTCTAACAAACGTGTTGACTAAATGTCCTTCCTCACATTTTTCAATGGAGATTCGTTTTAAGGTATTTTCAAAACCTAAATAGCTTACATCCATGTTTAGTGGCAATTTTCTCCTTTTTGCTGGTGCCTAGCATATCTTGGCTTTGTCCCGCAACTTAAGATATAAATTAAACTCAGTCAATCAATAAACATATAAAGCATGTATAAAATGTATCACAATTATAATTGTAAGCTTATTGAGCTCTAGGGGTGCCGGTAGGAATCCTGTTTCTCTTTGTGCTAAGCTAAGCTAACTAGCTGCTCCATTCCTTTATTAAATGGACAAGCCTAAGAGTGTTCAACATCTTCTCAACAACCAACTTTATGCCAAAAAGTGTGTTTAAAATAACTTATTGTTCAGGTTTTTTTATCCCTGTTTTAGCCATATGTCTATTTCTGTAAATGATCAGTCACATTTTTTATATGTGTTCTTACTTAGCCAGTAGAACTGATTCTAAATATCTGAACCTAGCCTCTGATTATAAAAAGATACAAGGCAGAGATTAGCATATAAATATGACTATGACTCACCTGCCAGGATAAAACAGTTTCTAGTCACCTTTATAAAACAAGGTTTCACTAAGTGTTTGTGTGGCGTTGCGTCACTAGTGATGAGGGAAAAGGTGAGGCAAGGTGGGCAGCCCTTATAAAACAAGGTTTTCACTAAGTGTTTGTGTGGCGTTGCGTCACTAGTGATGAGGGAAAAGGTGAGGCAAGGTGGGCAGCCCTTATAAAACAAGGTTTCACTAAGTGTTTGTGTGGCGTTGCGTCACTAGTGATGAGGGAAAAGGTGAGGCAAGGTGGGCAGCCCTTATAAAACAAGGTTTCACTAAGTGTTTGTGTGGCGTTGCGTCACTAGTGATGAGGGAAAAGGTGAGGCAAGGTGGGCAGCCCATCCTGGTGATGCAAGCAGAGGTAAACTGTGACTGTGTGTGTGCGTGTGCGTGTGTGTGTGCGTGTGCGTGTGTGTGTGTGTGTGTGCGTGCGTGCGTGTGACAGTTATCTCTATCACAGGAATTGCTATCCAAAAACATACATAAACACGTTTGCATTCATCCACTTGACAAAATAAGTTGATAAGGGCGTGGTGAGCTTTGATAGTTTTGTTGGCAGTGAGGTGGGCCCTGAGCTTTTGTTGGTGGCCATGGAAACAGAGTAAACAAACGGGCAGATGGTTGGTCAGTGATAATTCACTTCAAATAAAGACCAACTGGAAATTCATGGGTGTGGTAACGTATTTTTCCCCTTCAGCTTTACAAGAGAAGGTCAGTTGCCAAGGCAAGAACTTTTTATTTCTTCTGTTGTTTCTTTGACTTCCTGCACTGAAATGAATTCAGTCATGCTTGCAATGTGGCTCCTTGGAGGGCAAAGTCAGTCGGCCCGACAATTTGTTAGAAACTGAAATATCCTCACAACTATTGGATCAATGTCCATTAAATTAGCTTCAGACATTCATGGAGCCCAGAGGATGAATCCAAATGATGATCCTCTGACTTTCTGAACTGTTTCATGGATTGCTCTGAAATTTGGAAAACACATTCTTATGTTTTCCTCAGGATGAAATATAACAATTTTCCTCTGGCGTCTTTATCAGTTTAACATTTTAATTAGTTTAAAACTTTGGTTTATAACCAAATCAGCGAAGCTGTAGTTTCATTCGCTAGATTGTACTTAGTGCAATTAAGCACATGTCAGCTTGTTAACACGCTACAATAAAATGTCTTTGCATTTTTATGCTTATTAATGACTTTTCAATCATTTTAAAATGATCTAAAAAAAACGTTATTGTTAATGTGGTTGTATTAAATGCAACCACGGATGTGTATTGCCTTTAACTTTTTGCATCAGTTTTGTATCAGTTGTAAGTTAGATACTAGATTTAACCATTTCCACTGAACTGTTGTAAAGACTAGCATGACTGCATCACTAAATGCAGTAGAGAGCACCACCTGGTGATGAAAACTGAGCGTCAGTGCAACATTTACAGTCATTCGCAGGTCATAACGGCCGGGTGTATGACTCTGCTGATTTGTGTGTGAAACGATAAACCCACAAGAATTTAGGGGAGCACATAATGATTTCAGCCCACAGCAATAAAAGAGAACAACAGTGTTTAAGATAAGAAAGACAAAGAAGCTGATGATCAATCCTTTCAAAATATGACTGTGCACACTTTGATTACCACAGCAAATATTTCCTTTTGCTGGATGTGGACATATTTATTATGTGTTCACTGCATTTGAATGAACGCATGTTGCAAGACTCATGCGCCCTTTTTTGAACGTTTCCTGTGGGGGTCTTAAGATATGCCGTGTGAATTTGTCTCTTGTGGTGTGGTCTAAGTAAGTGCACCATCAGCAGAGCTTTTTTTTTCTTTATAGTTAAGAACTTCATGTTCTCTGCATTGACATTACTGTAATTGTCTCATGCAGGAAGCGTTTCGGCATTATGACAGACAACCTCAAGAGCAGCAAGAGAGAAAAACACAAACATGTGCTGTCATGCTTACTGAAACATCAACATTTTTTTTATTTAGACACAGAGCTCACACAACCTGAGAACAGAGAACTGAAACACAAATCTTTGATGCCATGAACGTGTGAAACTACAGGAGCTTCTGTAATGGAAACCTATACTAATAGTAATACAAAATTACGAATATGTTGCACCGTTGGAGCAGCCTGTGACCTAAGATTTTCATTGACATAGCTATGTATACAATAAAAGCCTTGAATCTTGAATCTTGCAAATAAGAAAGAAAGAAATATGGATGTCTAAGAATAAATATAATTGGTTTTGGGTTTTCATGCAGTTGTAATGACGAGGAAAAAAAGGGACATGCCTGAGAATCAACCTAATTATAAAATATATCCATATGACTTGAGTTATAGTCTATTTAATTGCTTTGGAGTTTTGCTTTCCCCTGAAGAAAATATAGCGCTTTTCTACATAGATTTAGAAAAATCCCTCAGGAAAACATATAATGTTCATTTCTTCCTTTTACAGTAAGGAGGATAAAGTGAACGTAGCATACTATTAGCACATAAATAGACGTTAACGAACTGGGCTGATTATATTTCAGACTTTTTCATTGTCTTCTTGATCCAGATTATTTGTTTTTTTGAGAGAAAAGAGTACACACCCGGGAATTTTTTCATGCCACACTTCTTTCCAAAAGAAGTGACACCGACCAGGGCTCCATTGCACAACAGTGGGCCTCCTGAATCCCCCTGGAGAGATAATAAATATACAACATTACATATTAAGACACATACGCATGAGTTAAGGGGTAATCTAAATGCACTCACCCCACAGGTATCAGCCACCTCTTCCACGACTGAACCAGCACATATCTGGCCGCTGGTGATAAAAGGCTCCATGTTGTAATGCTTAGGAGAGTTGCACTCCATTCTATCGATCACGGTCACATTGACAGACATCAGGACATCTGAAACAGTCTTGGCGATGTTGTTTGTTTTTCCCCATCCAGCCACCAGACAGCTGGTGCCAGCTGCTGGATATTTGATGGTGTCCCCCAACGGGAGACATTTCACCGTCTTGGTTTGCTTCACCGGTTTGTCAAGCTGAGATAAAAAAAAAAAATGTGATGCTGACCAGCTGTATGTTGTCTTTGAGAAATGTAAGGCTTGAAATGCTCTTTGTCTTTCTTTTTTTTAATGCTTTGTACCATTTCCCTATGTTGGTGTCATTGGACTTATAGCAACCTATTAAAGCTTGAAAATGATTCCACTTTCACTAAATATACTTCCTTCAAGTTAAAACTTTTTTTATTGCACTTGGTTAGAAAGACAAAACAAGCAAGACAGGCTCTCCTGCCTTGCCAAACCAACAAGCATATATTAAGTTCAACGAAATATGATCCTGAATCATCTTTAACTGTTTCCTAGATTGCATATTTTGCACCTTTGCTTCAACTTGGTTACTTGTGATTACAACTTACCTTGAGCAGCATGAGGTCATTGATGTGTTCTGTTGCATCATAGCAGGGATGAGGAAAACTTTTCACCTTGCGGACCTGCCTGGAATCTTTTACATCTCCTTTGATTGAGTGCACTCCCAGAATCACTTTCATAATGCTGCGAAAGCAGAAAACAGAGTTTACAATCCATTTTAAAATGTATCTTCGATAGCGCTAAATTCATACTTGCTTTTATAAATCTGCTTTTGTATCCAATACTTGGGCAATCCTATTCTCACAACCTTTCAGTCTCTGTCTTGAAGTACGTTGTTTACGTCTGTGTCGGACTCATGTCTGTTATTTGTGGGTGTTCAAGAGTTGCTATTAGAAATGGAAAATGAACCCCAGTGCAAACAGTAGTTTTATTTTAACTTAATCTTTTTACCATGAATAGTATTTCAGGTTCACTTTGACTGTTTTACCAAAGTGCAGAATCATTTCTTCATTGAGATGAAAATGATTATAATATTATATAAAACATATATCATCAGTATAGGTTATACATTAGTTTTAGTGTATAGGAATGTTTGTATCATGCTCATACTTGTTACAGTGGGCAGCAGTCAGGACCCATTTTGGATGGATCAGTGTCCCTCCACAGTATGGAGGCTGCATCAGAGCCATGAAAGGCAGCGAGTGGGGAGCCACTTCTTTCCCTCCAATAATCTCAGAACCATGACCTTAAACAGAACAATAATTCAATAATAACAGTTCAATAATTTTGAAAAAAGTGTAGAAATGAATCAATAAATGGTAAACCAAATAAATTGCAACACTCTGCCTCAGCTGCACTGTAATATTGAAAGTAACGCATGACTATGCATTCTGCATGCTTACATGAGTGAGGTAGATATCACAAAGTAAATGCCTGCAATACAAAGAATGTTTTACTCACATGATTGGACAATGAGAAGGACCACACACGAGATAAAAACAATGAAATCCCTTGGGCACAACATTTTCCTTATCTCTCTCTGATGTGACGGTGAATGCTCTTCAACATTATCTTGAAGCAAACACTCGTATTTATGTGTTGCAGTTGAAGGATGTGGTCTGACCTTGGAAATGCATGAGTCAGCAGAATGGACGCAAGCAAGACATGAGAATTGGTGTGTTCGGTCTTCATTTAGAAGCCTGTGGTAACAGTTTTGTCATTTCCCACTCATCATTAGCATGTGACAGTCTGCATGGTGGAGGCTTTTTATTTACGTGAAGCAGGTCACATCATCAGGGTGATGTTCACGATGTGGGACCACCGCATCAGCTAAAACTGGAGGCTTGTCAAGTGTTTCAGCTACAGTGATGAGTGTGTGTTAAAAATGATTCAAAGGAATTCATGAGAAAGTGGAATATGTTGTCTAAAGTGACACTAAAGACACATGATCAATAAGACATAACTCAGAGGAAGAGTTAACTATAAAGATAATTGGATGCTTATTTTATGCAACCTTAAAGCATAATTCAGTAATTCACTTAATGTCTTTCTTGTCGCGAGTTAGATTAGAATACAGAAGCCCTTTTTGTATCTACATTAAATACTGTAAGCTACAGCTGGTTAGTTAGCACAAACTACGAGACTAGAAAATATACTGTATCCTGGCTTTGTCTAAAGGTAACAAAGTCAATTTTCCAGTACCTCTAAAGCTCAATAACATTATATTTAATTAATTTAATCAGTAAAGATATTTAAGCGTAAACTGCCAAGTAACTTTCTAGCTGATAGACTTCAACCACTCCCCCACAATTATCATCACAACAATCATGGACGCGGGAAGGGGGGGTGCAGAGGGGGCTGCAGCACCCCCATCTGCGAGGCACCCGCACCCCCAAACGCGGCGCACCTACAGTGAAAGCGCACCACAGTTTCACCGCTGCGAGGCTACACTAGCACTTTCCCTGTTTGTTCGTAATACAGCACTGATTTTGGTTCGCACCTTTAAGGTACAATTTTAATAGAGGCGGAACTATTTTACGGTAGCCTATTGTGTTTAACATGGGTTGTTATATCGGGACACCAGAGATATTTAGCGCGGTGTAGCTGTCTTTTGGATGGAAACTAATATTATGAAGGAAACAAGATGCAGTATCAGCCCCTAAGCAACTTTGGGTGTTTCTCAATCGCGAGTACGCTTGCTTGGTAGCACATGTCTGCCGAGCATCTTGCTTCAGAAGCGAGTCAAGAATACTTCCTGGCATTCGGAAAACAAAGAGTGGAACAGGCTAGCAAGTGTGCAGGTGTGCGTCATATGAGAGGCCCCGCCTTACATCTTCCGCCACAGGGTGTTTCTCAATCGCGAGTAAAGCTGCTTCAGAGCCACTATTTCAAGCATACTACGTCATCGAGTGCCGCCGAAGTACTGTTCCAATCTCCAGCATACTTGGAAATCTACCGAGCCCGGCGTACTCCGTTTGGAGAAATATCGAGGCTGCACATGAGTAGACTTCGCGGTCTTAAAATCCCCACAATGCTTTGCGCACGGACCAATTTCCCCAAATCTGTGACGGAAGATGTAAGGCGGGGCCTCTCATATGACGCACACCTGCACACTTGCTAGCGTGTTCCACACTTCGTTTTCCGAATGCCAGGAAGTATTCTTGACTCGCTTCTGAAGCAAGATGCTCGGCAGACATGTGCTACCAAGCAAGCGTACTCGCGATTGAGAAACACCCACAGATTTGGGGAAATTGGTCCGTGCGCAAAGCATTGTGGGGATTTTAAGACCGCAGAGTCTACTCATGTGCAGCCTCGATATTTCTCCAAACGGAGTACGCCGGGCTCGGTAGATTTCCAAGTATGCTGGAGATTGGAACAGTACTTCGGCGGCACTCGATGACGTAGTATGCTTGAAATAGTGGCTCTGAAGCAGCTTTACTCGCGATTGAGAAACACCCCCAGTGTGTGTCTTGCAAGTGCTTTGTGTGTTTGTATGAATGCTATGGTGTGTTAGTGTATGCTACGTGCTACATGCTATGCGTTAGCTGTATTAGCGTGTGCTACGTGCTACATGCTATGCATTAGCTGTGTTAGCGTGTGCTACATGCTATGCGTTAGCTGCGTGCCGTTTATTGTGTAGTTTGGCGGAATTCATCGCTTATACATATTTATTTATTGTTTACTTTCAATTTCTCTCTGTTCTTCAACCCAGTTCTCACGGGTTGGGTTTGTATGAAAATAAACCCTGTATTTTAATGAAGACCTCGGCCTTGTGTGTCTATTACTGGAGGGAGCTACAGTAAAAGCATTTTAAGAAATACGGCAATAATTAGACTCTACTCAAACGTAGCTGAGACTTTGCCTCCGTTACATACTGTCATTGCATGTCATGATTCATAAGCCTGGAGTTTAAAGTGTAGTTTAAAGTTTTTAGCTAGACACTCTGATGGTGTTTTTCGCAAATCAACCCTTTCTAGAAATCCTATATGACAATCTGTATCATTATATTATAAACAGTTAAATTGCTGTGGTACAGTCCTCAGACATCTGTGGTGACAAACCTCACATGGTGCATTATCTTGTGAAAAACTTGTGCATGTGAACATTTAAAAGGAAGTCTTAACCACACCTCTCTGATGTCTTGTCTAGTCACATACTTTTACCATCCAAGCTTTCAACCCACAGGTCTATGCGAAGAGTACCTTTATTTGCATCTATTGTCTTGTAAAATGTGCAATTAATTTAACTGTTGGCTAAAATGAAGTAGTAAAAGTGATGGCAGTAAGAGTATACACTCCACATAGGAAGTTACACACATCATCATCAAATATCAAGTTAAAACCCATAAGCCAGATAAATAGAGAAAAAAATAAACCCAGCCTTAATTTAAATTGTTCTATATAACAGTTTTTAATCGAGTTGCATATCTAAGGACTGGAGGTAACCATTTAAGTGTAGGCAACAAAGAAAAGAAACATGGAACAAACATTAAATATAATTTGTCACAAGTTACATGAATACATAACAGAAAATGTTTAATGTGCAAAGTATTTGACTTTGGACTGCGCTTCTTGCAAAATGTGTTCATCTCTTACAAACTAGAGAGTCCTCAGCAGCAGCCTGTTTTGGTATATTATCTGTAATATTATCACATAACTGCCCTGGTATCCATATTTGGTATCTGGAAAATGAAAAAAAGATAGGAATATATTGTACAGAATGAGAATATCTTCCAAGTGTTTTATTCTACCCTAAAATTGTGAGGTATGAACCATCTTGGTTTGATTGTGGTTTGCCAGCTTCTTATTGTGGTGGATTCAGGAAAGGGAACAGGAAATGTGAATTCTTGACACGATGTGAATAAAAAGAGAACGTTTGAGACAGGTCCGACCACCTGCCAACCACCATTATGTCCATTTTTTGGTGACGTCAATATTTACATGTCCCAGATGTGAAAGCGCTGGTCTGCTCCAGCAGAGAAAATCGGAGTGCTGTCAGAGTTTATGGCCAAGTGCAAGACTCGATCAGAATGAGCTGAAAAAAAATCATAAACGGTATTAAACTAGGACATCTAAATACATTATTTCCCATATGATAAACAGGGGTTACGTCTGGTTTCAATTGCATGTCATAATTTGTGTCACATAGTACAACATTTTAGCAGCCGTCAATGCAAAGATGCATATTCACTTACAGTAACAGTAAATCACTGTGTAGTTTGGAACATTATACCTTTTTAAAGTAGTTTCAAAGAATGCCTAATATCTTCAATTGATGTGAAAACTCATACCAGAAATGTCAGTTACTGCTGATTGGTTTCTGAACAAAAAAACGCCAAAATGAACATAATGTGCAACTGAATAATGAAGTGAAACAGACTGGCAGCTCAAAGATTTTCAGGCTATAAATCACAAACAGATAAGTTGTTAAATAACACAATTAATTAACATTTAGAAAACAAAGAAATTCAAAATAATCTTTATAGGATTTTAAAAGAATGGTTTTCAAATGTCACATTGACTGGAAACCCAGGATATGAATGACTCAAAATGGCTCTTAAATATCTCAGCCATGACAGAGCTGCAGGTCCAACTGTCACACTGATGCTGCTATATTACTCAGCATCTGATGCAATACATGTATTCCTATGTGGCTGTTGTGAATGTGTTTATGGATGTTATTGCACATTAATTATATTTCATATTCTCTCACCTCTGAGCTGGTAGAGGGGGCTGAGGGAGGGAAACTCCGACGACCAGCAGGTGACTTGGTGATGAGGCAGACCGTGACCTGTGACCAGATATCTCTTCTTTTCAGCCCAACGTAGAGAACAGATCTGCAATTTGAGCCATTAAAAACAGTGTGTCCAATATTTATACCCAGTAAATTGCTACACGTTGAGAGTTAAGTACCTGAGACTTTGTGTTAGCTGATGTCACACATGTTCCCAAATCTGTGTCCCAGATTCTCAGCTCTCCATCTTTCAATCCACCTCCGGTGGCAATCATCTTTCTCTGCCATGGACACCATCCCATTGCCTTAACATACAAACACAAGATATAAGAAAGCACACACAAAGGTCAGCGGATTGTCTGGTTCTTTAAGCAGACCAACTATTGGTTGCAGGATCAACTGTGTTTTTGAAACCTCTGTAACAACAACATCCTTTAACTAGCAGCATGGTGCTCAAGTTTGCACAAGCTATTATTAGTCATCCTCAAATCATACAGCAGAACACACAGTTGCTGACAATATACGAGTGTGATTGTGTCAAACCTGTCTTCCACCTGTAAATGATGCAGGTATTCTTTTGCAAGTTGCAACTATGACATTTGGTACAGACATTTATGAATCCCTAAGGATAAATTATATTAACATTGGTTGTCTTATGACGTTTTATCTCGTGATACTATCACTCCAACATTTAAATTTCCAATACTTTATGGCCAAATACTTGCAATGTTATCATACAATCATACAAAATGAAGTTGGAAACCACATAAAACATTGCTAAACGTTAGCATGGTTACATTGCCATTTTGAGCTTATTAAACAACCGGCCATTAACTTTTGGGTTTAAGCACCAGAGAGCCACTAGTATGGCTGTTGACTTGTAGTCATTGATGTATTATAAAAGCGTATGAAGATGTGTCCTCCATCCCTATTTCATTAGGTAGATAAGATACAGTGCACATGAAAAGTATTCATGTTTTATTGTTTTACAACATTATATACAAGCCTTTTTCTTTCTTTTTTTTTTTTACAGAGAACAGTCCAATACCACTGTCAAAGTTACAAAATACAACTCTACACATTGATCTAAATGAATGACTAAATATTAAAAGCACTACAATAATCAGGCTTCTCCTCCCATCTGACAGGCAGAAGTTTAGCTTACACTGACCTTTACAGCGCTGGGCTGTGTCATCATAGTGATTGGCTGGTGTGACCTCGTGACCCCGGCGATGTCTCCGTCCCATATACAGAGGAGGCCCTCTGTGGAGCCGCTGGCCAGACAGTCCTCTCCTGGGGCCCACTGGAGGCTGCAGATCGCCTCCTTCTGCACAACGGCACCCACGAGAGGTGAAGGAGCCCGAGGGTCGACGTGATGGATATGCCCGAGAACTGAGCCGCTGTAGGGTTGTAGAAACTGTCATTAATGCGTGAATACTACACACTTCATATTGATATAGACTGTGATTCCCTTTTTTACAACAGCTACTTTTCGTTTTGCTTAAACATTAAAACAGTATAGATTTGAATACGAATGTCATTCCTTCTTTATTGGAGTTTAAAGATAATACGTTATTTTTCAGTCCTTAACTTTCATTTCGGGTACTTAAAACACACACCTGCTGAGTAACTGCTGTTTCCAAGAAAGAGCCATCACCACAGACTGATGTGACCACAGACGCCTCATACTCTTCTTTTGTTCAACATCCCACAACTAAAAAGTCAAAGAGACACCACAAACAGTCATTCTGCTGATTCAACTAGGTGTGACACCTCCCCTCACACAGGCCCCCCAGACCACAATTTGTACAAACCAGTTTCTAAGCCAAATATACTCATTTACTTTAAGCTCCAAGGCATTTACCTGCATCTCCCCTCGCCTGGTGCCGATGCAGAGAGTTCTGCCATCTCTGCTCCAGCTCAGACACGAGATGGTCTGAAGGTACGCTCGTCCTGGTTGTGGACTCTGGGCCAAATGTCCCACCAGAGCACGAGTTTCTGAATTCCAGAGGTAAACAGAAGAGCCCAGTGCTAAAGCAATTATACCATCACAACTGCAGTCGAGAAGATTAGTGTCTGAAGGGAAAAGATGGAAAAAAGAGAGAAGGGCTACTGAGGAGTCTAATACTGACAAACGTAACTGCTGATTGACACACCATCAGATCATTTAGACCAGACACTAAAAGTTCCCTTTTTAATTTTTCACATTGTGTTTACTGGTTTAACTGTTGTATTGTTTTTATTTTCCCAACTTGAGGGTGTATATCATGTTTCAAAAAAGTCCTCATATTGGCAAGAGTAGTAGTAGTAAATGTTGGCGACTTTATTCTTTATTATTATGATAGCCTAAAAGTGGTCATATGTGTTAAACTCATACTGTTGCTTAAACTTGAAGTGTCTTTAATGCTAACTGACGTATGACAGTTTACTTGGGCCAAAGTGAAGTGAAAACTCACTGGTGAACCATGTGCTAATCCACCGTTGCAAATAGTACCTCAACAAATACACTATTTCCTCCTATCATTTGCTAAAAACTACAGTCTTAGTGTTTTAGGAAATAATAACACAAGCGTTATAATTTAAATACAGAGACAGAGAAAGAACGGCTTAGTTTTCTTCGCAGGATTAGTATGTTTTCTTACAGTAGTCGTTCAGCAGTGACGGTGCCGCCAACTTCAGCACTGACTTTCCACACTGACTGACAGAAGTACTGTCCAGAACAGCAAATGGCTGCAAAGCATGTGTCCTCTCATCAGAACCTGCATGGAAAAATATTACATAAAAACAGAGTTAAAACATACACACACACACACACACAGTTTCACACCCAAAGCATTTTACTTTGATTTACTGCTGATAATGTCCATTGCATTTATTTTCACTCACTGAAATCAAATCACTTCATAAGCTCTACAAGATGGACTAGTGATGATGTACAGATACAATGATAGCAGTAAACAGGAACATAAACAGACCTCCAACAGGCTGCACACAGTCTCTGCTACTTAAAAACATTTCTGCGAGTTTCTTGTTTACTGGTATGACAGCATGCATCGCCCTAGAAGGCATTCAGATAAGTTGTTTCTCTTTTTGTAGACCTTGAAGTGCTGTAGGAATGTAGTGAAAGCCAAAGAAAAAATTCATGCTGTACCAGCCTGTTGAACATTTCCATGTTGATGAATTGCTGCTCTCCAGACCAATCCCTGCAAAAGAAAAGTAAGAATTATTACAATATTTAGTCTTTTACAGTCTTTTTTTATTTTACCTAGTGATCTCATGGCTTTTTATTCCACCTCAATCAATTTAGCAAAGAAACAATGTTTGTTTTTGCCATTTTTAACTGAAGCTTCCAAATAACTTTCATTGTTAGGGTTCCTGCCTTGTTGCTCACTTTTCAACATTTCCATTGATATAATAAATCCAACATTATATGTATAACTTTATTTACATAGAACCTTTTAAAGTATAGGTTAAAAAGTCTCACAACCCACTGGAAAAAAATGTTTAAACATCAAACTCCAGTGGTACAAGTTCCTTAAACAAACCTGCTTTGGGGCACTCTCTGTAGCAGTCCATCTCCTGGCAGTGAAGGTGTGTTGTGTGTTTGGAGATGTGACACCCCCACAGTGCGATACGCCTCCTGCCAGCTCTGTCTCTGAATAGGAAAGATGATATCAGAAAACATAAAAGCACCAAACAATGCTGCTCGGAATCCACACTCCATTTGAGACCGATAAACATAATGGTGAAAACAACAAAGAGTGGATACATGATTGTGTGTGTTGCCCTAAACAAACATTTGGGCCTTTGGACCTAAAACAAGGACAATGACTATGTGACAACTGACAAACTACAGTGTATTATATTTTAAGGAGAGGGCTGTGCAGAATTGTGCAAAATATATTCAGAGAGCTGAGCATCAACATGGCACACAGTTTTGTAATGCATAACGTTTGTGGGGTGGATAAAAGTCAGTGTCAATGGGCCTTGTTCGTGAGGCCGGTAGCAGAGGGGAAGAAGCTGATATAAGTATTTGTGTGTGTCTTATACATTCTTAGCTTGGGGTTTGAATAATACCATGAAGGTTTCCCTGCAGGTGTCTCTGTGCTGGTTCATGGTCTCTCGGAGGGGAGTCCAGCTCCAGTCTCTGGCAGACTGCCTCCAGATCAAACCTGGGCTCCCTCTGCCCCCCAGTGGCCAGAGGTGTGCTTGCAGCTGGACCCTCACTGCTGCTCCTCTGGATGATCCTTCTCCTGAACCGCCTGTACGAGACGTGATGGCCATCGTTTGGTCCCTGGAGAGACACAAACATATGCATGATTTTAACAGAAATAAATGCGAGTCTCAAACAACTCAAATACTGCAAACTGACACCAACTTCCTACCTCTGCAAACTCAAAATACCACAACTTTACTAGTGTTAAGCTGGCAGTGTTCACAACATGATGTCCGGTTACGTTTCTAAGTAAAAGCATGGTAAATGCCTTTTAGTTGTGAATTATATACTGTAGTGTAAGAAGAAGAAATAAGAAGGCTACTCACGCTGGGAGCAGTCAGGTTATAAGCATCAGCTTTTCGGCGACCCTTTATAACACATTATTGTAAGCACATCATTTAACTTTTAGAGCTATTGATTTGTTTAATTTCTGCTTTACGTCTATTTAATATATAAATGTAGCCTACATAACTAACCTAATGTTCAGCTGTATCTTACTTGGAACACCCTAATATAAAGAGTTGCAAAAATGTGTTAATACTAATAAAAAATGAAATCATATTTTAGGGGAAACGATGCAAAACATATACCAAACGGAATCATGTAAATACTATTGGATATATATATTGGATTCAGAGGTTTAATGTCGCAATGGAAACGCATTACCTTTACAATGGCATTACAACTAATGCTTTTTGAGTGGAACACGTTTACTGTTCTTATTTGGAATGGTATTGTTGGCTTCCGGTATTGTGCTAGTGTTTTATAACTTAAATCTGTGTTCCTTTTCCCCTGGTCCGCCCGAGACTTTATGCAGGAGCCCGCTACCTCCTCGGTTTGTTCTTCCCCCTCCAAGATGGAGGCCTTAGGGGGCTACCGTACAAAGTCCTCCAACCCAAATGCGAAAAGGTTGACAGTTTTGTTGAGCATGACAGTCGGGGTCGGGTGTTTGTTTCTCCTGCAGACTCAGCTTGTGAAACCGAGGAAACCAACTGATTTTTACTCGTTTGAGGTGAAAGACGCGAAGGGGAGGACGGTGTCTCTGGAGAAGTACCGAGGGAAAGTAAGTCCACATCATCACCAGTCATTTCAGTTTGAGACAACATCTGTGCAAACTCTAAGTTATTCAGTGTCAGTTTGTTGTGTTTTTCATTGAAATTGTAGTTTTCGCACATAACAGTTACTCCGTGGTTTCTCCTGTACAGGCGTCTCTGGTTGTAAACGTGGCGAGTCTCAGCGAGCAGACGGAGATGAACTACCTCTCCCTGCAGGAGCTGCACCGGGAGCTGGGCACCTCTCACTTCAACGTGCTGGCCTTCCCCTGCGGTCAGTTCGGGGACACTGAACCCGGTACCAGCCGGGACATCGAGGCTTTTGCCAAGTCCACCTACGGAGTCACCTTCCCCTTCTTCAGCAGGATCAAAATAATGGGCTCAGAGGCGGACCCTGCCTTCAAATTCCTCACAGGTGGGCATAACCACATCTGTCACATCACATTTTTATTTTATTTTATTTGGGTTAAGATGATAATTGAATGATTTATGGACTGACCCTACCAGCTGTCTGGCAGGAAGTGCAATCTGGACCTTACTTTCACTGCAACACAATAATGACCCATGGCTGCAACTCAATTGTAGTAGGGTCAATAGTATTCAGTTTATAAAGGAAGCCTTTGCATTATGAAGCTGCAACCAGTTTTAACACCTGACTTCTATAGATAACTGTCATGTCCCAAACTAAATATACAACTAAAACATATTTATGTTTCCTCATAGGGAAAACCTAATGGTTAAGTTTATATGTATAGTCGTGCGTGCATCTTAAAGAACATCTGGAAAACAGCCTGTGAACTTCTGAGGTTATTGAAATGTAATATTTGCTACCTTATTTATAAAAACTAAATAGACTTGGGCTTAATATTAATTTGTATACATGTTTAATTTATTTTAATAATAGATAATAATAAAGCAGCTACTCATTGTATATTCCATTCACTTCAGAGAGATCTATTTTAAACTGTACTGATTATTCAGTGTGTGAATTTTATCAGTTATATCGACCTTACGATAATACCATGATTTGTCATACCGTTTATATTGTAGTAGCTGTCACTTTATTATTTTTGATTTTTGAATCAATGCAATGAGGTGTCTTGAGTTGAGAACAATTATTTATATGGCAAAGTTGCTGTTATGAGGTGTGATTTTATTTGATACTTTACAACATTAAATTAAGTCAGTGTGACATAATCAGGAGCAATAATCTATATTTTACAGTTTATTAATAAGAAGCACTGGACAGGGAAGAGCGTCATCAGAGTTCCTTGCTTATATTTCGGTTAGATGCACCATTAATGAGTGCATACTAATATGTTGTGTTTCAGATTCTGTGCAGAAAAGTCCCAGGTGGAACTTCTGGAAGTTTCTAGTAAATCCAGAGGGTAACGTGGTCCGATTCTGGCGAACAGACGAGCCCATAGAGAGCGTTCGAGAAGAGGCCACAGCGTTGGTGCGAGAAATAATCGTAAAGAAACGGGTGGAGCTATGATGGAGATGGATACGGGACACATCTAAGTGTGTTGTGCCCGTGATCCCTTTGCTTTGATAGCAAGGAATGACTGAACGCTGAGCTGCTACAGTGAGGGTGGTTCGTAAAGTCTAGCTCCAGAAACTTGCCGAATGAAAATATCAATTTTCAGTCATTCAAAGGTAGTTGGAGTGTGTGTTGGTGCGTGGGAAACATCGGTTAATAATGACAATCATGATGAACATTCCTTATAATGACCACTGCTGCAGCCAAAGGATTGCTTAGCCATTGAAGTGTTTGATTTTTCAAATGTTCAGTTTGCCTTTTTGTACCATCTTTTTCAAATGTTTACATTAAAATCAAATTCTTAGGTGAAGCATAACTTTTTAGCCGATTTTTGACTGATTTGAGACCACAAATTGTAAATCACCCATTGAACAATAGGATTACGTCATCATAGTTAATTGATTGGCGAGCTGAAGATACTTTGTTCAGTTTAAATAAATCCACATTTTAAATGCAGAATGTTGATGCCAAGTAGGATGCCAACTTGCAAGTATTGCAATAGAAATGCATAGTGTCACTGTTATTTTGTATTCTAAAGGTGATTTTGTTATTTGACATTACTTAAAACAGTTTGAATGTCTGGTATAAGTCACATAAATCAACACCTGCAACTTTGAATCCCAACTTGCTGTTTAAAATGGAAGTACATGTTAATTGCAGCATCTCCTGGCTTGTTGGTGTGGATTTTAATGGAAAGTTGGAGGGCAGCAGCAGGTAAGCTGGCACACAAAGAACAAACCAGCTAACAAGACACTGCCTACCAACCACCCACAATATGAGCATTTTTTTTTTTTTATCTTCCGTAATCATTTATTTCTACTCATTGTATTCCAGAAGCTCAAGCATAAAAAGACCAACATTCTATATTGGACATCCTCTCCTGTAAGCTTCCTAAAATCCTGATCTGCTAACATAAAGTGCATGAGCATTCAGGGAGCAAGTGATAGACGTAGTCAAATGTAACTGTTAAGGTAGCAGAGCCGTGTGAGCTGTTGAAAGCAACATCAGCTAACATTACACTGCCTCCCGACCAGCCACCACTCCCCAATCATCCTGCTGTACATGCAAATGAATAGATTTGACTAAGTTGAAGTGATGTTGAGTTGAATGTTTTGACATTGTGCTGAATGTCCAATTTCAGGGTTTTTTCATTCAGTCGCCTCCAACCTTTACCCGGCTGTTGACTTTTCATTTCCCCGGTGAATGAGGTGTGATGTTTGAGTTGAGTTGCAGCAGCAGTGAGGAGTGTAGCTGACAGCTGTCAGTCAGATAGCACAGCCAGCAGCAGTGCACTGCCACACTGTCACCACCAGATCAGAGGCTGCCACAACATGTAACCTTTTAATGCACATTTCTCCAACGTTTCCCCTCTTACCTTGAAGGGACAATGGCTTCTCTTTCTGACAAAATCTCGCAGCATTCTTCTCATATTGTCCTGGTTATAAAAACAAGAAGACTTTAGTCAAGGTGATGCTAAAACAAATATCTTTCGATTAACTTTCTTTAGGTGAAATCTGTTTGTTTTTCAATCCATTATTCATAAAGTCGTGGGTCATTGTAATACAATGGATCAAAGTCAATGTGTTTTTTTAATCAATATTTAAAAGTAAAGCTTAATTTTAGACACAGCCCTGTGTTTAGAGCCCTGTGTTTTAAGTGGTTGCCTGGTAGCAACAGAGCATCATGATTAAGGACATAGCTTATGTATCAGGCTATTTTTATATTATTTTGTACTCACCCAGTCTTTCGCTTCTTCGCTTACTGCCTTCATTTCCAGTTGTAATGACTTTGTGTAAAGCAGCAGTCCCTCCTGTCTCTGGTCCTGTTTCTGTCCTGCCTGGTGCACCTGCTGCTGCTCTCCTGGACGGACTGCTCCTAAATACTCTCCCCGGGCGCACGGTGGAGCGGGAAGCCCCTTCCTCTGCTCTGCTATTGGCGCTTCAGGTTTGAGTTTGTTTTTCATTAGTTCTTGTCAGGGATTCCCTCCGCGTCCTGGTTTCTACTGGATACCAATAGACACAGTGAAAAAGAACAACGCGGTAATGTTTTCAAGGTGGAGGCGGCAACATGTGTTAATGACCCGGACAAGGACAAACTTATTTCTTTAGGTCTGTCAACCTCTACAGATTATAACCTAACTGCCAGATTTATGTCGTGAGAAAAATAATGATGAATGAGTTGGTATTAATATAAGGGAAATACATTGATGGCTAAGATTTATGAGACATTTCAATCACAAGCCATTTAAAGCATGAATCGTGATAAAATATTTAATGGTAAATACGAAGGAATGTAAAGGCTATAGGCCTTTTAAAAATAAGATTTTCCTCAATAATGGGCAGGGAAAAATAAATAAATCCTTTTATAGTAACAGTATATTCTAGTATTGTTTATTTTGTCTTATGTTAACAAATTATAGACACTTTAGCAGTTTATAGGTTGCAAATGGCATTTATTTTATTAAATAAAAACGTAATAAATAAAATAAAAATTCGTGAATAAATATTTTGTTTTATTACAATTTAACTGAAATTATAAGGTAATACAAGTAGGCTATAAAGTGGCATAACATTTTACTTAACAATACAAATATAATAATACAAATATGTGTAACTTTTCAGAATAAAAACACCAACAAAATAAATAAAGCATGCAGGTAAATTAGTATTTTTTGGATAGACATGGAACTACTCTTTTACAATAATCTGCATTTGCGGGAAAAGGCTGTGTGTCCGCGGGCCACACGTTTTAATGATGATCTGCTCTGGCGCTAAGTGGGCTGAACCGCGCGAGGAACGCACGTTCGCGCCACCTGCCACTTCCATATGCGCCCACACCGGGCTCGAGCCTGACTGTGCGACAGGTGCGTGCATTAAGCAGCACACGCACATCCATCAGAGCTAATTCAGCAGGCAACCACAATGCAGTCATAACAGATATAAATCACATAAGTCTACTTTTGAAATCGTCCCACCTTAAGTTTATCCACACAGATCAATGTATAATGTTAAAGGGCATTATTCACATAGATTGATCATACATTTATTAAAAAGTATTGCTATTATAAACAATCTTAGTGCTGTTTAATATAATCAGACAACACTGCTAAATGCTGCTTTATTTGTGTGTGTGTTAGGCAGTTTGTTTGTCTTAATTGCCCATATCCTGTTTTCTTCATTTTATGACTTTAAAGTATAGCCTATTGTAGCTTGCGTTAAAATACACACTTATAATAATAATTCTTTTTTTTTTTCAGTTAGGCTATATTTGCCTAGAGACCTTGAGCAATCAACAACATCCCTCCCTCCACAGAAACACTAATATTCATATTTTTCTACCCGCGGGACTTTGTCTGAATGGTAACCAATCCCGCTAGGTTTGGCTTCAGTCACCTTAGAAACTCATTGTGTGTGTATTTTCCTTTCCCCTCCCGCATTGTCCCCCGCAGTTTGGCGGTAGCTTAACCGGTCAAATGTGTCACAACCAGCTTAACAAAGGCCGGCCTGTGCCCGCTCTCTCCGGCGCTGCTGGTCAGTGACACGCGGACCTGTTTGCAGTAAAAGTGGCTCAAGGAGCGCCTGGGTGTGAAGGTTTGAGGTATGACAACAAGCGTCCAGTGTGATTTACGTTGGCAGCTGGGAGTTAAATGGTTAACGATAATCATGTCTGGGGTCAACCAGCGTGGTCAGGGTTAGTCAGACCATTGTACCTCGATTTTATGGGTGGAAAGTTGGCCTACTATTTAATCAAGTAGCCTAGCATTTTCAGGTAGCTACTTGTATAGTCTACTACAATACAGAATGAAACATTGCACTTTTTAATACTTTAGTATACGTTTATATATTATAACTTCAAAGATTCAGTTAAATAAATAAAATGATGATGGTACAATTTAATTCTATTGATCAAGATAAGACCTTAATAATTCACAAACTACCCAAGCAAAATAACCCCACACACACACTTTGTCAGCTGCCACAATAAAGTAAAGCCTCAATATATATACAGTAGCCTATTTTTATATATATATTAAACTGAAATGGGAAGTTAAGCATGAATGCTTTAATATTGGTATGTAAAGGGATGCTAATCCTTGTGTTATCTTATTTGATCAATATTTTAGAACCTTCATACACTGGTATTTGTAAGAGCTGAGTACTTCAGGTACTTACACAGTTGTTTTCAATAGCCTATAAACCAAACTGCTACATGTTGCACAGTTTAATCAATCAGTCATTCAGCTTTCAAATTACTTTCTTCTGACATAAGCTGTATGTTAATTCAGATAGATCAGGCCACAAACTCTTATCAGGCTCTTCTTATCTTTGTTTATGTTGTCACATCCTATTTCATGACAGTACTGTCAAGTGTTGCCAGCCCAGGGAATGCAGTGCTGCCTTCATGCATAGTCTAAAGTAAAGAGGCTCAGGTTTGGGGAGTTTAAACAGGTGTCTGACCTGAGGTTCGACATTATCCTCTGGATTGGCCCGCCTCGCACCATCCCATTTTTTTTTCAGCTAATGCCCTCAACCGTAAGGTTAGAGAAGGATCACAGCCTACATATACCAGAGGTCAGAAGGTCACATACTCTTAAAATAAGTTTTGATTTCCTCTTATTTCCTTTAGCTATCAAAATTATGATTTATAATCAACGTTTTTGTGAACCTTTCTCATGGGGAATACTTTGTATACACCTGTTGCCAACAAGATTTAGAAGTCATGAATTCAGAAGACATTTTTCTTTCCAGAACGAATGATGTAAACAAGGATGTTAGCTGCAATGCATCATGACATGTGCCCTTTTTCAGACCACACAGTCACCCAGACACAGACAAAAGGAAAGGAAGTCCTTAAGGTCACAGGGTCATATTTGCTTCACTGCTCAAACAAGGTAAGTTCACATTGAAAACAGTTTCTTTCCATTTGTTTGAACATCACCTCTTTCTGTGATACAAATCCCTCCCATGCAGCTTTATAATACAAAACTTTTATTTCAAAACGTATAAAATCATTTGTTATTTTTCAAGACAAAACATGTTGTGAAGTGTAGAAAAATATTGAATTGCTGCATTGTTTGGCTCGATTATAACATTTTGAGTGGTGTAAACACAATGAAAACAAAAGCTGTGGCAGTATCATTTCCTTTGTCAGGCAGCAGCTGACTGATTGGCTTACAGGCTACCTGAGAAAGACATTGAATCATTTACAGATCTCCCTATAGATTATAAGTTAGGCATTAACAGTAACTGCCACCCACACTTCCTTCCATCACTAATTAGAAACATTAATGGATGTCATTTTATATCTTTTAACCATCATTTCAGCTGTCGTTGGGAAGCCAGCGGAACCGATATCCTCCTTGCTGAGTCCTCGAAGTGAAAGCACGTCCATGAGGAAACACCTGAGTCCTTATGGTGCTGTGTTCTCTCACAGACGTTCTGAAGGATGAGACACTCTCTTGAAGCTCTGATGCATCCATCGTCATGCTATTGTCTTTTGATATAGAAGTCTTTAGGCCTGAGAATGCACCAAACATGCGTATTGTCTCTGATTCCTGTGGCAGTCTTGTTCCAGTAGCAGCGTTGTGCAGGACGGCATTGCAGCGTGTGCTGACGTCCCTCAGCATGTCCTCCACTGTGTCAGAAGACTCTGTGTCATATCCTTCATCCAGTCGTTGACGCTTACAGGGACTCAGTGTAGTTTTATCACCACAAGGTATGACTTGTTCTCTTTGGTCCCTGACTGTCATCAGTTTCTGAAGACACACGTATATATAGATTAATTCATACATAAGGGGTTAAACATGGGTCCAGGATGAAACTGTGCAAAGGGTGTTTGGCTGTGCTTGTCTCAGCCATGAACTCACCTCAAGCACTGAGGCCAGGTGCTTAGCTCGGCTGGCCAGCTGTCTGAGGTGAAGGTTTCTCTCCTGAAGGCAGTCAATCTCTTCTTGTTGCCGGTGTAGAGTCTCGTGGAGCTGCAGGCACACAGACAAATATGTTGAGTCATGCTGAAGGGAATCATTACTCAAACAGAGGGCTTTACTTAATTGTGCATAACCAATGTATATGCATTTTGTTGTGTTTTGCCTTATTGATGTTTTTTTATGTAATTTTAATCATAACATTTGCTCATTGCTGGTTTACACAAACTCTCCTGTAAACACATTTCAACCAACTGGGAAAAATAAAAAAAGAATAGTCTCTTATCCTAGCATCATGTTATAAAGTCTTTACACAACAGAAGGACCATGATTGAGTAGAAATCTGTCAATTGATTTATTTCATTACGTTCATTAGCAGGGCTGTGTGTAATCATCCAACAAATCTAAAATATTACCATTGCACCATTTAGATCCACCATAACACAAATCACATATGACTATTATCTTATCATGTGCACCACAGTTATCACGTAAAAAAGGAGCATGTAGTTGTCACAGTGAAGTTTTACCTGATTGTTGACTTCCATAGAGTCTCCGAACGCCCTGCCTTGGCACTGGGCGATGCCTTGCCAGGGAGCTCCATATTGGACAGATGGGTCGCTCGCTTCTGTGAAAGAGTGGCTCAGACTGTCCTCTGGAGAGAAATACTGCTGAGGGGTGAGGAGAGGTATGACACATCCCTGAAATGGCACCAGTTCAGCTGGAGACAGATTGCTCTCCAGCGTGGCAGGAGAATCTGACAGATAAACACACAGGGCTTCGGTCAACATGGTAGAATTTTAAGGATTTCCTCAATGTTAAAAATACGATAATGATGAGGATTAAGATGAAAATACACTAGCACATATTTAGGATTATATATATAAATGCTGCATCTCCACACACTATTTGCTTTGCTTACCTGCCATGAAATCCAGTGCATAATCTCCAAAATCTTGGTCATCTGCATCAGATTCATTTACCTGTTGGCAATTGAAATGTACGATTAAATGACAAATTGTAGATTAAACACATAGTCGACAGAGAAATCATTCATGCCCCTAACCTGAAAGTCCCACCACGACCAAGCAGGGTAATGTGGCGGTATGGCAGAACATGTATAGCTCGTCATTTCGGTAAGTGTTCCGTCGCGTGTTGTGATTTTAGTGTTGAGCTGTGGCAAAGAGGCAGCATGTGAACAAAATATGGGAGGTACGGCCAATTAGCGGTAGTTTGCGTGTCATGAGCAAACTACAATCTCATTCGTGCATAATTCCAGCACATCGTGTCAAACATTAACAGACGTATCGTGATGCAGATCTGCATCTGATTTATCACCCTTCTCTGGATGATCGATGTGGTGGTAAATGCGATGATAAATGAGGTGTCACAAAACCATGAGGTTTCTAAATAACAATAACACATTTATTTCTGATACTATTTACTATGTTTTTCCTCACCTGAGAGCAGAGGGAGTCACTCTGCCGTCTCACCACAGACGCACAGTCTTCCAAATCATTCCATGCAATTGTGGATAAAGCTGTAACAAAAGAAGGGATGATCTATGAGTGAACTCTCGAGAGCACCTGATGTAATTATAAGTACACGTGTTAAGGAAGAGCATGAAGTTAAACAGAGATGCACATACCTTGTTCAATCATGCAGGGGAGCTCGACGTACACATTGATTGGACTGCTGCTTCTTGGCACCATCTTATCCTGCAGGTATAGAAAGTATGTTAACACCACTGTCAAGAGCTGTGTGCATCATTCTAAAGAGAAGAATGTCATACCTTTCTGTTTCCTGCTGCCCTCCTCCCCTGTTGGCTCATTTGGTTTGGGCACCCAGCACCGAACACCTTCATGTCTCTTTGCATCTTCATCAGCTCAGCTCTGCAGGACTGGATGTTCGTGGTTTGATTTAGAGCTAATATAGACGAAATTCTCCCGGTTTGTGTCTCTCCATGCCGCGGCCTCATAGTTTTGGCCCAATCAAATGCACTTATTTGGTCTCCAGGGAGCGATGGCGTCCTCGGAGACTGAATTGGTGCCGACTAACGGTTTTTTCTGGTGTGAAGTGTAAGTGGTACCGCGCGTAACGGCGCCATTACAGCAGGTGCTCTCTACAGACCTGCTCTCGCTCCTCCTGCGGCCAAATATCCCCTGCGCCGAGCCAGAGGCGTAAGTAGTGCCTGGCTTAATTTATCCACGTCTGTTTTATACAACAAGACACTGTAGCTGCCTCACAAGGCTGACCAGCCCGCCAGCACAGTAGAGACCAATGCCTTGTCTCTTATAGCCACATAATTCAGTGCGTAATTATTATTCCGATGTGCGTAAAATGTATTTAGGTAAAGGTCTATTGCAACATTTAAAGCAAAGTGGAAAAAGGAAAAGGACACTTATAGCAGACAGCATAGTAAACACTCGTGACAAATACCTCTATTAGTAAACAAACAAGACTAAGCCTTGTTGACCCTTAACGCTGAATGCACCTGTGTGGTCGACACTGTGTCAGCAGGTCGAGATGCCACGCGTAATGGATTATCAGAGAAAGCCCCCTCAATTGACCAGGCTGTGTTGGCACAGGTCAGTAAATAGTGATGCAACGTCAAGTAAAGAGGATGGTAAACTGGGGTCCGGGCAAACAGTTACAATAGCCAAGACCTAACCCCGCATTTGGACATATGTCAATCTGATATAATGGGCTCTTGTCATACTGATCATAAATGTTACAGAGCAATAATTTATGCTAGTGAGTTTACCCCTGCTATTAAATCAAGATAAAGTGGACATCATCAACATTCAATTTTAAGTGTTGATTGTATATTTAAATTGCATGATCTCTAGTTCATGCCAGTCATCCATGGACAGATTTATATGAAATAAATGCCTTGTGGTTTTTCATCATATGTGTGAGTTATGGATCCACATTTTATAATCCATTCAGAGACAAAACGCAGATAAAATTACTGATATTTTATTTAATAATACAACACAACAATGAATCACAGTACAATTTTCCATATCCTTCATGTTGCAACAGTAACATATCTACTTAAATAGCAAAAAGCCAGAGCATACACAGTAAACGGTGACTGATAGAATAAAAATGAACAGAATATAATAATATACTTTATTGGTAAACATAACCCGCATCAGTCAAATAAATCTAACTATTATGCTGCATTAACATTCCTTCAGATCAACATAATGAGGTAAACATGAGGATTTTATTGTATAAACATCAGACTTCACTTTTTAACTTACAGTAACCTTCATACAACCCGCCCGGAGAATATAAATCCCAATGAGGAGGGGAATAAGTGATTTTGGTAACATTTGACTGGTGGCACACTTGTCACATGGCAGACATCATTTCCATTGTCTCCTGGTTTAATGAGACCAACAGCAACAGGTTCTCTTTGCATTCCTGGACTAGAGTGTGCTTCCCCTGACTCACATACAAGAAGTGGCCCTTTACTGCCAGAGAGTCTGCCTCACTCTCAGGGCTGTCAGATGGTTGGGTACATAGTTCATCAACAAAACAGCCCCACTTGTCCTGTAGCTGGATGGCTGCATGCTCAATAAACCCTTGTTCTGTTGTCAATAACTCACTGGCTATCCTCAGTGCACAGCTAGCAGTCAAAGATGGTGGATATTTGTTGAAAGCATAGTCTGCAAGGCTTAACTCGCACACCTTTTGTGCTAGGCTGCTGCACTGCCCGGATCTCTTTGTGTCTGTATTTGTTCTTTCAAATCTGTCACCACCTGTCTTCTCAGACTCAAGCTGGGCATCCTCAATGCAGTTGGTGTAATAGTCTAGGAAGAAGGCCAGTGTAGGTGCAAAGAGGCGGAAGTTGAGGCGGAGGAGGATGAGACACTCCAGGTTGCATAGCTGCTCCTTAGTGAAGGCGTCACAGCACATTGACAAGAGATGGCTGATCCGCGGTGAGAACACCTCTACCTGGGTAACACGGAGAAAATAAGTGTTATAAATAAAACAAAATCTCCAAGTTTTTGTTCATAAAGCTTCTACAACTAAAATACATACCTGTTTGCTTGCTAGGAGGAGTGCAGTGACACCCAGTAGCTGGAAGCAGTCAGCAGCCACTGGTGTGGTAACCATGAACCTGTCCATGATGTTCACCGCCAGGCAGCAGCACTCAAAGGACAGATGGAGATGTTTGTGTACGGGGATGAGCCAGCTGACAAGCTTACAGCGTGCTTCTGTAGTCAACTGAAAGTAAAACACAGACTCCTATTAGAAACTGAAAGAAAATAGGATTTTAGTGAGCGTGACTTGAAGTTGCATCTGATTGTCCCTTATAAATGTATTTGAAACCTTTTCTGTAGCCTTAGTTTAAATACAAGTCTTAATCCTGCATTCAGCAACTTTGTGTTCATTTCAGGAGACTAGGATTTTACTGACAGCATAATCAGAGATATTAAGTAGCCTAAACTATGGTTTGCAATGAAAAAGTCATCTCAATTGTCAAAGTTGGTGCCACATATATGACGAAACTTATAACGTTGACATATTGTGTCTGTCTTAACAAACTTAAAGGCAATGTTACCAATTATCTCAGGGGCATATGAGCCAGATGGCAAAATATTTTGTTTAGGATTGCAGGTGTTCATAGTTAATACAGGCTTACCATGTGGTTGTTAGAAACAAATAAAGTAAATAGAGACAGACAAGTAACCTAATTCATACAATTGGTTAAATAAATTACACGTTTTGAGCTGGTTTCCATAACTGGCTGCATTTAAGTGCAATATGCTAGACAAAAATAAACTAACAGTGCATAAAGTCAAACATGTGTAATAGCATACTTGTGGCTGGCGTGCCAAGCTTTTGCAGGAATAAAACCGCGCCTCTTTGTCCATCTGAATCTTGAAACCGATGTCCCCGTACTGCAGGTACCAGTTAGACAGCCGACCCGAAGTAGGCTCGTCTGAACGCAGAGGAGACACATCTATCCGAGCCGGGGATGAAATCGGGGAGGACCCTAAATCTTCCTCGAACCCGGAGTCACTCAACTTGGACATGAGTGTCTGCTTCCTGTGCCGGGCAGGCTGCCTCTGATGGACCGCTGTGAGCGCTTCTTTTGAAGGAGATGCGCAAATGGTGCGTCTCCGTTTCGAAACAGTCTTGGATCCGTTCACAAATGACACCATGTCCAATATAAGCGATCTCTAACTGGAGCTTCTATTGGCTTTGCATAACTTAGGCCAGGTCTGACAGAGCAGCAGTCTCCTGGATGTTGCTTGTGGGATGGTGAGGTGTTGGGTGAGGGGAGTCTGGTTTGCTCACTTTTCCCGGGGCCATCCCCGCTCCTGCAGCGCACCCTTCTCCTGTCGCCTGGGCAACCGAGGCTAAACAATCACTTGTTCCAAGTAGAGTTAATTAAACCTTGAACCATATGTTACTGCTTGCTCTCTGCAGGCCTATTTCATGCTACAAAAAGGATTGGGCAACGTCAAAATGTAAAAAAACAACAACTATGCATCACATGTTGGCTATACCATGATGTTTCACTTTATGAATATCAAATGTACATTCACAAACAATGTAGGAGCACCTGTGTGACTTTTTGAAATATGAATTGCTGTGCTTTTTTTTTTTTACAGGAGTTGTCTCAATAAATAACTCAAAACCATATGTGCCTATATGTTTGGGATTTTAAAATGTAGGCTATTTTAAAATGTAGGCTACTTTACTTGTTTGTATTAATTTTGGCCTAGGTTTTTTGATATGCACCATTAAACCAAAACAATGTTTCTTGCGCTGTAATCAGATTGTTATTATGATTCTGTGAAATGGTGTTGTTAGTTGCACATAATACACACGTGAAAGGGTGTTGTCGGCTACTTACACATGATATAAATATGTTGAGGTGTTCCACATGTGGTTAAATAATTTAAATGTATTGTTTGTAAAAATATGGTTTTCCTACTATTTTTGTACCAAACAGTTTTATTATATTCAGAGTTATTATTCTCAAAATAGTAGCCTAACAAGTGGAAAACAACCGTGGGGGGAGACAGAGGCTATGTCATTGTTTATCCATTGGCATTCCAGTAACCTCATCCACAACTGGTTTCAGACATTTTCTACACTTTGCTTCAGATTGCTGAAGAGATGTAGGCCTAATTAAATATTAGTGATACTTCTAACAGTTCAAATTATATTGTCTACTAACATTCAGAGCGACCTGTCCTGGGTTTGCTGTGGGCGGAACTACAAAACAGACGTACGTCATCTTTCAAACTCCAGTGCAAGACGAGCGCTTCAAGTATGCCCTCTGCAGACGTACACAAGGTATTTTAATGACTTTATTATTCGTTGCAGATCATTTTGGCTTATATTTTACTAATCGCTGCATTTGACGCCGTTGCAGATTGAGCAGTTTGAAGGAAACTATGAAATAAACATTAATGCTAGCTGTTGTTAGCTGTGTAGCTACCGTTAGCTGTCCTAGCTGGTAAGCTAAATAGGCAACGATAACGTGAGCTGGTTGTGCTTTATATGTAAGCTAACGTTAAATAAGGTGACTAACACTTATTTGTTGACGGTGGGTTAGCTACATGCGTGATGAAGTGATACGCCGTCAATTAAAGAAATAAGAAGAAGTAAGGTTACTGGGAAATCAGACTGCATACGCTAGTGAGCTAGCTTGAGCTAACACCATGCAAAACAAGCTTCCGAAGTCCGCCTGTGTTAAGTTAGTTAGCTAACCTTAGTGTTTGCAATGTAACTTTAGTCACCTCAATCAACCCTACGGTGATGTTATACCAGTAAGATAGATGTTTGGTAACATGAGAATCATCATGCTATTAAGGTTAGGTTTTCCACGGGTTTCACATCCGTAGTTTAGTACTGTCATGTTTCACAGCTACAATAAAAGTTAGTTAACGGTTAACCTGAGTTTTCAGTGGGACAAGTTACACGGGGCTAAAATGACACAATTTATCATCAGATATCTGTTGGCTCCACTTACTAAGCTTGAAATTGTAGCTGTGTTTTATTTAGCTGCAAAGTTGTGCAACAGTCTGGTCTGAAATACACGATGTGATGTGAAAGCTTTGAGCAGAACAAATGCAAATAATACTTGCTTCTTCTCCAAAATAAAGTGCATGTCGGAATGTTTTAAAAAATGTGGATTTTTTCATATTAACTGAACATTTCTTCCAGCAGTTTTAGCAAAAGTGAACCATGGAAAATTCAGGCAGGCCTTACCGGGGTAGGCAAGGCGGATGGGAGAGAGGATCAGGAGCAGGAGCAGAGAGAGCAGAACCCTGGAGGACCCCGGACCAGGGTCGAGGACAGAATTACAGATCGGAGGGAGGCAAGAACCAGGGCGGACCCTACCGGGCCAGTCCCAAGAAGGGAGGAATGGGGCCCATGGGCTACTCCCCTGGTGGATTCAGAGGTGGTCACAGCCCCTCACAAAAGGATGACCCTCGGTGGTCCTCGGGTCCTGAGAACAGTGGTGGGACACGAGAGGAAAACTGGAGAGAGCGCTCCCAGCAACAATGGAGGAGAAGTAACCAGGGAGAAGGGCCAAGGGACGACCGGGAGCAGGGAGGGAGAGATGAAAATGATGGTAATGCTCTTAAAGCAGATGTGGTTTAATAAGCCAGAGTGGGACAGTTTTAAGATTATCCCCACTTAACCAAGTTATAATGCAGCCGTCTCTATTGACACCTTAAAATAAGGTGCTTCCTGATCCAGTTAAGAGTGATCAGTGCTAATAATAAAGCTTGAGTCTGACTGAAGGCTAGTACTCCATCATCCATGATGTATAAATGCAATGTAATGTATACACATTAATGATAACATTAATGATAACTTCCACGAAACTTGTTTACCACATGTATTTTTTCTTTCCAAAGGGAGGAGACGGAGAAACAGAAACAAGAATAGAGCTTATGCTGAAGAGAACATGGGCCCTCTGATTGACGAGTCCACCCTCTCAGCCAAAGAGCTGCAAACCCTTCGACAGGCAGAGAAGCGGCTTAACAAAGATGAGATCTACAGCCTGAAGAAGGTACAGGATCTATGTGATAACCCACAAATACAGTCTTGTGTTTATACGCTTTCGCTGAAATTATAAATAGATAAAAATGTATCTGCAAATATTTGATAATTGATTCTGTGCTCCAGTCATAATTCGAGCGGATGTGACAAAAAAAATGGGGTTTCCCCAGTTCTTATATGTGAGAATTTGCTGCTTTTCTTGATATTGCAGAGTTGCACATTTTTATATGGGTATTAAACTGTTGGTCAGACAAAAAAGGCCTTAAAATAATTTGTGTTTGGGTGTCTTTCCCTGTTTTGTGATGATTTATACCAAACGAACAGGCAATGCAGAAGTTGCAGCACTAATGTGCTTTGATAGTTTTGTTTTTTGTACATGACTAGGACTACTTTATTTTAATTGTTTCATAAAGAATGTGTGAAGTCTTTATGGGGCACAGATGAGCTAAGAATATCCATAAAAGTGTAACTATTTCAGCCTTTGTCTGATCTCTGAACTTTCCTCCTTCTTTCTAATGGTTCAGAGGTCCCACAGCAACCCCAGTGCACTTTACACTTGCTCTCTGTGTGACGTCCTGCTGGACTCTGTGTCTGACGCTTACAGACATATCAGAGACAAACGGCACAAGAAGAGGGCCAGGGTAAGAAACAGTGTTATTATGCAAATCACAGTGATGATTATAACAGTAAACGTTTGTAGACGGGTGATGCTAATGTACTCTCATGGGACAATATTCTTTTGCACTTAAAATTGTGTTGACGCTCTTTTTTTCCTGTTTGTGTTTATAGGAGAGGCAAGAGCAGGTGATGCTCACTGAGATTCTGCCTCCTGGTCCAGAGCTGATCAGTGCAGTGAGTGCAGCATTAGAGGAGGTTGTCCGGGAACATGGGATGAATGACCAAGATGTTGAGATGAGACAATGTGTTGTCTCCATGATGCAAGACCTCCTTCTGTCCGTCCTGCCTGGTAGGTCACCTGGGGATGAAATGTGTCTTAGGTAGCCATGAGACATGACCTGATTCCTTCATGAGTGGTGATTTTGCTGTGTAGAAAGCAAGCTGTTGGCTCTTATGCTTTACTTAAGTTTATTATTTTGTGATGTACATTCTAATGTCAACAACTGTATTCCCTCTCTTTCTATCATCTGTAGAGATCAGGCTCAGGCTATATGGATCCTCCTGCACCAAGTTTGGATTTAAGGATGCTGACGTCAATATTGACATTCAGTATCCGCCTCATGTGAGTAGCCCAGTGTGAATTAGAAGTGCAACGGATCATAGAACTTGCGCTTCACATCATGTTGCATTTTTTTGTTTAGTTTTCAGTTTTTTTTGGCTCAGCTGAAAGAAGGCTGCTAAACAAGGCTCTAGAATAACCCTTTAAACAATTTTCCTGAAAAATGAAACTATCCCAAATTGTGTACAAAAATTGAAATATTATCCAACATCCTTAATGTTGTTAATGTCCTCTATAGTGGTTATGTACATAAAGATACACAATTCAAATGATAAGAAAATGATCTAACTTTATTTTCACACTTTAAATTAGTGGAATGAATATTGTGTATATATGTGCAGTTTGAAAAGACTGTAGCGCTTCAGAATTGTTCATATTGCTGTTGGATATTTATTAACACCACTTCATGGTAATGAATTAGAGAATTGTATAGTTATGACAATATTTAAATCGCTATTATTTTGCACCTTTTCTATATTGTATATCTGTATTAAGACTTAAAGTGGAATGTATTTGCAGATGCATCAGCCAGACGTCTTGTTGCTGGTCAAGGAGAGCCTCTCTGTGAGCCGTGAGTCACCTCTTTGTTTATTTAAGCGCAATATTTGTCTTTGTTAAAACCATATCAAACGTAATACCAGACTGTCATGGAAGTTTTAAATGGAACATGTCTTGTTGTGTCCTCAGCTATTTTCGTTGATATGGAAGCTGATTTCCATGCCAGGGTGCCTGTGGTCATGTGCAAAGAGAAAAAGAGGTTGGTATAGATTTGCTTGTCCACTTCATGTGTTAAACTCTGAATGATCTTTTGTTATTCCGTTTTATCAGGACGTTATGAAACTACAGAAATGCGTTTTCTTACATGTAAAGAGAGAAAAAAATGGATTGACAACTGTTCAT